TTCCCCAACTCGCCTCCTCGCGGGGGGTTGCAGTTCAGCTGGCGGGTTCAGCCGTTGGGCGATGGGCCCCGCTCACATGGGTACTCGCACCCGCATGCGCATGGGCATGGGCCGGGGCATGGTCCAGCAGGATACGGGGATCGGCCTCCTTCCCCTTCACGTTGTAAGTGGCTCTTTTCTCAACCCGCTCTTTCTCTCATTTGCTCGATTTCTAACCCTCGCCTCCTGTTCTCCCCCACTCTCTCTTCCCGTACCCCCCCGGTCCCCGTTCCCCCCCCCCCCTGCTCTCTCGCTCGTTCTCTTTTCCGTTCCCCCTGTTGCAATCTCCTGTTAGCGTGGCGTCTCTGATCCCGCCTTCCTCTCATTCCCGCATTCCTCTCCGTCCCGTCCCATCCCTCCTCCAGCACCCCACCGGCGGCCTCCGCATCTGCACCGGGGCCCAGACAACCCCATCTCCTTCGCCGCTCCCCGCCACCACCCTCCGCCTCCCATGCACCCGCACCACATGCCCTCGCAACCACCGCACCACCAACAACACCAGCAGCAGCAGCAGCGAGGGCAACCCCCATGGAACCCATACATGGGCATGGGGCCCCCGCCCCCTCCCCAGCACCACCACCAGATGCAGCCGCCACCGCAGCAGCCTCCGCCCATGCCTCCTTCCCCTCCGGACTCTCCAGGGCGGCAGTTCCGCTGCGCGCCTGGTGCTATGGGTGGAGGTGGTGGGGGTGGTCCGGGTGGCCCTGGTCCTGGTGCTCCCCTTGGAAGCATGGGCCAGCGCCCCTCCTTTCGCCGGCCTGTTAGCTTCCGGCACCCGCCTCCGCCGCAGCAGCAGCAGCAGCAGCCGCCGCCGCCGCCGCCGCCGCCGGCGCAGCAACAGCAGCAGCAGCCGCCGCCTCATTTCAACAGGTGGAGAACACATGGTCCCCCTTAGCTTGTGATCTTGCTCCCAGCCCTCTTGCATGGTACTACTGTCCTTCCCACTCTTAAAATCTCCTCTTGACCTCTCTGTCTGTCGCTCTCGCCGCTCTCCTCTCGTTCTCCCTCACGTTTCCCCTTTCTGCACATTTGGTACACTCTCTTGCGTCCCACCGCTTGATTCCTTTCCCGCGCCCTCTCCCTGCATGTATGTTCCAGCCCCCCTCTCTCTGAAAAGCATGACTTTGACGTGTCTAGACGTGCCTATTGACAGGCACGTAGGTTGGATTTGCCAAGTCATGGTAGGAGGGCGAGTGTGAGTGTGAATGTTGGGAGAAAGGGAAGGATAGCATGTGCAGTGCACAAGATGGTATTGTAGCACAACAAAACGTAACTTGTGTGTAGAAGACATAAGCAAGCAACACTTTTTGCTTAGGTTTGGTTTGAAAGGGTCGAATATCGTATAGTGCAAGCTGAATGGTACCAAAAAGCTCGTCGTAGAACCTAACAGAGTCGGGTCGGGAATTGTGAAGTACGGTATTGAACTTCAATTAGTTTGCTACTAAGCAAACCGTATTGCTACGAGCACATTGCAGCACTCAGCAGCAGCACACACCGTAGTGTAGTACTGGGTTGGAAGGAGGGAGGGAGGGAGGGTAGGAAACGACGGTAGAGCAAGGACTGATAGTGAGGCCATGCTGTGTCTGCCCTGCCTGCCTGTCTAGTCTACTACCAGTCTCACACATGGTACGGTAAACATTTGGCACCTAAAATGTGGTAGAGGCATGTTGTAGTGCAGGCAGAGGAGGGTTAGCCTAGCTCACATTGTACCCAGTTGGAGGTTCGCCCTGGATGCTTGTCACCTTGTAGAAATTGTGGGATACTGTAGTACTTTGTTGTAGCAGTGTGACAGATATCCCCATATGATTATTTGAAGTTTTTGGCATTTGCTGTATCCAATCTCTTGACAGCTGCAATTATACATTGAGGCAGCCTGGCCCGTGCAATGGAGGCAAGTCAACAGCTTCATCCTGCTCAATCATGACACATACAGTGCAGAGCATTGTTTCAAAGCTTTTGATAAAAGCTAAGAGTGAAGTTGATATATATTCATAGATACATACATCCTCTGCCACAGTCCTAGCCCCCTCGACCATACACACTTCCTGCTGGCGTGTGTTACCGGTACAAACCTAGACTCCATCGCAGCGCGGGACGTGCAGACTCCACAATAATATCCAGCTCCTTCCTCCCTCACCTGCACTGGCTCCTCTCACCCCTCCCCTGCACTCCACCAGACTCGTCGTGTACGTCCATCCGAAACAGCAGCAGAACGCCCACTCAGCTGCTGCTCTCCAACCTGCTACCTCCACTCCACAACCTCAGCCCCAGCCAAACCCAAACCGCTGCTTCTCCCACTGCTGCTGCTGCTGAGGCGCTACCTCAAGGGGCTGGCGGGGGCATCCAGAAGGGGCGGATGGAGCGCGCGAGGGAGTACGGGTCTGCCTCCCACTGCTGCACGGAGTCTCCCCCGTCCAAGTCGTCTGCCAGGCGGAGCAACTGGCGCTGCAGCAGCATCACGAGGAAGCGTGTTGCTGTGGTGGCGGCTCCTGGCAGCACGCTGAACATGAGCGGTGCTGCTTCCCGGAAGAATGAGAGTGCTTCTGTGAAGGTGGGAACCATGGCATGAGGTGGAGAAGGGGAGAGGAGGGCAGAGACGGGTTGAGAAAGCACATCGCAAGGTGAGAGGAGAGAGCGAGCAAGCATGATAGGAGAAACAATGGGAATGGTGAGGTAAGCAGATGAATGGCAACATTGAGGAAAGAGGACGAGATACAAGTACACAGCTTCACAAGGAGACGTAGGGAGCAAGCACTGAGCACAGCAGCACTGAAAGCGCAGCACAGAGCAAAGGAGCACCGAGCGAGCAGGGCGGAGCAGTGAGCAGAGCAAAGCAGCGCACCTGCAGGCGAGGACGGCCCTCCAACGGGCTCCATGCTCCTGAGCTGCGGCGCCAGCAGCGTCCAGAGGCGCCGCAGAGTCCCCAGCGCCTCCACATCGTCGTCTGAGAGACTGGCCGTGCGCCAGTCCCCGCTCACCATGCCCAGGACCGCTCCCGGGAGGAGGAGAGGCAGGGGGTAGGTGCCCGGCTGCTGCAGCTGTGCTGGCACTGGGAGGAGCGTGCGGGTGACGAGTGTGGACCAGAGGGCGGCAAGGGCCTCTCGTGACATGGCGTCCACTGTACGCGCCATCTGGGAGGGAGGGGGAAAGGAGGCGAAGAGGAGGAGAAGAGGAGGGGAAGAGGAGGGTGAGTGGAAGCAAAAGGGTGGAAGGGGGCGAGAGAAGGGTGAGAGGGATGTCGTGCAAAGAGCAGAGAAGTGTGAGAGAGCACGGCAGCAAGAGTTAGAGGGCAAAGAAGAAGAGCAAGGAAAGAGCAGAGCAGAGAGAGCGAGCGAAACGAGGCTGACCTCGGTGAGAACGAGCTCCTGCACATAACTGCCTTCTGGTGCTAGCACCGTCTGCACCACCTCCCATGCCACTGGATCCACCACCCCCGCCCCCTCATCCACCCCAGGCCACGCCACCGCTCCCGCTCCTGCCGCCGCCGCCGCTGCTGCTGCTGCTGCTCCTTGCACTGCAGCCACACCCTCTCTCCTCCCTGCCGCCGCCATGGCAACAGCCGGCCGGAAATCCCCAGTGCTTTCAGAATCACCCGAGCCGTCAGCAGCAGCAGCGGCGGCAGCTGCGGCATCGTCGGGAGTGGTGGCACCAGCGGCAGCAGCAGAGGCGATGGCGTCAACAGCAACGGCGTCGAGGTGGGGCGAGGCAGAGGGGGGCGTGGCCATGAGGTGGCGGAAGGAGAGGAAGTTCTGTGTGAGCTCCTCTACTCGTGCCACGTCCAGGCGGTCCCCTGACCCGTACAGGAAGTCCCGCAGCACCGCACGCGCACGTGGCCTAGGGTTGGGGAAGCGGACGAAGGCGATGGGGGGGGGAGGAAGAGGTGAGAGAACATAGAAGAGAAGGGAAGATAAGGAAAGGTTGGGGAAAGAAGAGGGGACGTGAGAAAGTACATGCCATCGCAAAAGGAGCAAACAGCATTGAGCGAAGCCCGCGCACACCCCTTCCCACGCACCCACGCCCCATACCACAGCCCCTCGCCCATACACACTCACGAGTCATCAGTGAGCAGGCGCTTGGCAATGTACGGGTAGCACTCCTGCAGAATGGAGTAGCTCGGATCCCTGGCCAGCCCAATTCCCTCCAGCGTGAGAAGAGCAAACAGACTTGCATTGCGACAAGCACACACGCACACCTTCCCTCCCACCCACGGCCCATACCACACCCCATGCCACAACCCCTGCCCTCGCACTCACGAGTCATCAGTGAGCAGGCGCTTGGCAATGTACGGGTAGCACTCCTGCAGCGTGGAGTAGCTCGGATCGCGGTCCAACCCAATCCCCTCCAGCGTGCCGAACGCTCTCAGAATCAGCGCAAAGTAGCTCGGAATCACAAACACATAGTCCTGCGCCATGGACGATAGATCCTCTGCCACCTGCCCGAAGTTGATGTTGCGCGCGCCGCCCCCCTGCGTGATCTGGGACATGACGCGGGCCAGCTGCGGGACGACAGACCTGGTCTTCTCCTCGTCCACCAGGTCCGGGGGAACGAAGCCCAGGACGACGAGGTCTTGCGCTACTCGCTCGTAGTCGGCGCTGAGGAGATGGGAGATGTAGGAGACGAGTGCGTAGCGCTGGGGCTCCGTGACCTGTGAGGGGAAGAGAGGGGAAGGGAGGGCGGAAGGGAAGGGGGAAGGGAGGGGGAGGGGATGAAGCCCAGGACGACGAGGTCTTGGGCTACTCGCTCGTAGTCGGCGCTGAGGAGCTGGGAGATGTAGGAGACTAGTGCGTAGCGCTGGGGCTCCGTGACCTGCGGTGGGGAGAGGGGGGGAGGGAAGGGGGGAAGGGAAGGGGGAAGGGAGGGGGAAGCGATGGGGACGAAGCCCAGGACGACGAGGTCCTGGACTACTCGCTCGTAGTCTGCACTGAGAAGGTGCGAGATGTAGGATACTAGTGCGTAGCGTTGGGGCTCCATGACCTGTGGAGGGGAGAGAGGAATAGGGGGAGGGGAGGGCGAAGAGATAGGGAGAGGGAGAGGGAGCGGGAGGGTTTTAGAAAGAGAGCAGATAGGGAGAGAGATTATTTGGTGGAAATATTGTAGGATAGGAGAAGTTGGGGTAGGCCGGTGGGTGGCAAGAACGACGAGAAATTGAGGGCAGTAGAACGCGGAGAGAAATTTTGAGTGGGTGCCATGTCTCCTGCAAACTGACCCACCACCACACACACTCTTCGTTTGCTCCTCGCCCGAACCCCTCCCCCTCTCTCCGCATACCTCCACAGCCCATCTTGGCCCCTCCGATCAAACTCTAAGCACAGAGACACCACACATCCCCCCCCTCACATTGCTCCGTTCTGGCCCTCACCTCGGTCATGAATCCAAAACCTAGAATGCACAGCTGGTCTTGAGACGTCGCACCACACTTTTATCATCACTGCACACCGCACATCACACCCCGTCTGCCACACGCACCTCGGTCATGAATCCAAAGTCCAGAATGCACAGCTTGCCATCAACGGTCCTCAGGAGGTTCCCCGGGTGCGGGTCTGCATGCAGGAAGCCGGTCTCGAGCAGCTGAATGAGGTAGCAGTTGAGCGCTAGGGTCACCAGACTGCTCACGTCCGCCGTCTGTGCGTCTGACAGCTTCTCGCCCTGCACCCACTCTGTTGTCAGCACCTGCGGTAGGGTAGGAGGGGGCGTGGATGGGGTGGGGGAAGGAAGGCGGGGGATGGGGGTCGACGTGTGAGACGAAGTGCCTGCTTGATGCATGCATGTGTGTGGGTAAACGAGGTCGGATGAAGGAGAGAGAGCGGGGTGCAGGTAGAGGTGTAACTGTGTCATCCTTTCCCTGCGTCCATCCCAGCGCCCACCCCTGCGCTGCAGCCATTCCTGCATGCGCCCCTGAATCTGCGAACGTCCTTGTGCGTGCAGCAAACCGTAACCCCATCATTGCATCCGCCCTCGCATCCACCCACGAGCAGTGTTGAGCAAGGCACGCCCATTCATCGCATTCCCTCCCCGCCATCGTCTAGCCTGTCATCATATGCTGTTCTCGGGGTTACTGTCACACCCTATGCAGTCACGTACGCGAGTGCTGGTGAGATCTGTGAGGACACGTGGCACCACCACGTTGCGCAGCCTCTCCATATCCTCTCGGAACCGCGTCGCGTTCGCGCCCTGGCGGATGGGATTGAAGATGAGGGGGAAAGGAAGAGAGGGGGAGGGGGCCGGGGAGGGGTGAGGGAAGGGGGGAGGGAAGCGTGGTCAGACGAGCAATGCAGACAAGAGGACGAAAACGCGGAGGTACAATTCTGCACGCAAACAAGGGTGAGAAGGGTGGGTAGGGTGAGATGTGAGAGGGATGGGCGGGAAGCAAGCAACGGCAGGCTAGGCGAGCAGCAGCAAACCGCGCGTCCCGCGTCCCCGCGTCTCGCCCCCGCTCACCTCCTTTTGGTAGTCCAGCTCGTCCCAGAAGCGGCTCGAGAACGAGTCTAGAACTTCCGCCAGGTCCGTGTGCACGCCGGGGAGCGCGGAGGCCACCTGCGCGAGCGCGCGCAGCAGCAGCAGGTCGCAGCAGATGTCCTCGCGCACCTCCGGCCGCTGCACCTTCACCGCCACGTCCTCCCCCGTTGCGCGCACGCGCGCGCGGTACACCTGCCCCAGCGACGCCGCCGCCATGGGCTTATCCAGGCCGTCGAACACCTCCTCCGCCGGACGGCCCAGATCCTCCGAGATGATCCGGCGCGCGTCGGCGGAGGGGAAGGCGGGCACGCGGTCCTGCAGGGTCTGGAGCTGCTCTATGTAAGCGGGGGGCATTATATCGGGGCGGATACTTAGCGCCTGGCCTATCTTAATCGCCGTGGGACCTAGCCGCGTGATTAACTCCATAGTCTGCTGCGCGCGCAACCGCTCGTTCTGCTTCCCCTCCCCGCGCGCGTAATCCAGCGCCAACCCCGCGAGTACTTCCGAACACTGCGCCGCCACCCACACGGCGCGGGCAACCACCCGCGCGGGGCGCAGCTTGAAATACGCCGCGATTGCCTCCGGGTCGTACGTGGAAGGAATCTCCTTGCCCTTCTCTCGCGCGTCGCGCACTGCCTCCACCACCGCTTTCCCGAGCAGCGCCGCGAGGGCCGCCGCAATCGCCGCCGCCGTCGGCGCGACGACGGGCTGGGAGGCGAAGGAGGAGACGAGGGAGGAAGCGGAGGAGGCGATGGAAGAGGCAAGGTAGGTTGCTAGGCGGGCCGCGGTGGTGGGGAGAAAGGCAGGATCGGCGGAGGCCTGCGCCAAGGCAGAGTCGACCGACACGCGCAACGAGGATGTGAGATGATCCGAACTCTGCGTGGCGCGGGGGATAACGTAACGGAGAGAGGATAAATCAGGTGGTTGATTAAGAGAGGGCGAGGGATGGATGGCAATTAGCCAGAGGAAATGGCCATAGATTGTAACGTTGATGTGTCTCCTTACCTGTAACAGCGCGGAGGACGCTTCGCCGAGGCGCGTTAGGCCAGGCGAGCTCGCGATAGTTGTTCCTGAAAATGCGCTCACGGCGGCACCCGCCGATGCGCCCGCCTGACCCACCCCACCCGCAGCTGCCGCTATAGCCTGCTGCACTACCGCCGCCCCAGCCTGCCCCTGCTCTTGAATCGCACGGCCGAGATCAGCTCCCGCCTGAATCGCACTGGCCGGGCCGCTCGCAGCGGCGGATGCGGCGGCGGTTGCGGCGTCGATCGGGGATTGCTCTACGATATTCTGAACCCAGCTGGCTACCGCTGCTGCGAAGGAATTCGCCTGATCGGCAGCGGCGGTCGCAGCACCAGCAGCGTCAGGCAAGCGAATTGCCTGAAGAGCCTGGGTACTTGACGCTACGCCTGAAGTCACGCCTCCTGTTGCATCTGTGAGGAGCTTAAGCAGCGTTGGCGCTGCCTCAGCTGCTGCTGGTGCGGGGTCAGCAAGGCCAGAAACTATAGCTGCTACGAGAGCAGCTGCGGCTGCAGGGGCTACAGCCGCTGGGGAAGCAGCGGCAGTGGCAGGAGTAGAGGGCAGACGTGCGGAGGGAGGTGAGGAAGCCGAAGGAGCGCGAGACGTGGGAGTTTCGTCGGACTCAGGAGGCGGAGACCGCGATGCGCGAGGCTGAAATGTCCTGCTTGTAGCGCCATGTCCCGGAGTTTGGCGCGCGGAACGAGGCTTTGTGCGCGCAGCGTCGCGTGTCGGCCAAGAAGAACTGGGCGCGCGCGGAGTGGGAAAGCCGCCTGCGCGGAGGGGTTGCGATGCGGTGCGCGTGCAGCGTCTTTGCCGCGGCCGTCCGGGCTGTTGGGTCAAAGCTGGAGGTGTCAGCGCCTGATCAAGCGACAGGCCAAGAGGGGCCATAACGGCTTGAGAAACGAAAAGGAAAATAGTCGCTTGAACGCGGTTTGAACGGAAAATGTTCTGAGGCGGACGCGGCGAGTGTAAATGGCGAGAGGTGCAGACGAGCTAAGCGCTCGGCCTTCGGAAGTGCTGCATACAAATGAGGAAACACTTGTTAGCTGCTCAGATGATGACGCTACTCTACCGACCTGACCAGCTCTTGAATTGTCCTCGCAACTGGTGCATGAAGCTGAGGTGGATTGAAGGTGTATGGTGGTTCCTTCCTCACTCTTACGCGGGCTTGCCGCTGATGCTGAAGAAACCTAGGCGGAACGAGCGGCTAACAACACCCCGTAAAGCACTGCCCGCATAAAAAAGTGAATATTTCTGGCAGCGCCTTTGGAAGATGTGCCCGCAGGGTTGGGGAGGTGGCAACACTGGTGGAAGAGCCTTGGGAACACAAACCCCAAGCAATCGAGTTTGATTGGCCTATGGTGTGGATGGAAGCAGAGGCAGTCAGAAGCCAAGAGAGGACTTGACAGCCCATTTACATTGGGAATGCGCGCTAGAACGGCATGGTGTCAACTTTATACTGTATTGTTTCACGATTGTGCCTACGACTTGTGGTGTCACGAGGTCTGGCGGGTCTTTAGGGCGCGTTCGTTCTGTTTCCAAGTTCGAAAAAAAGTTCGGACTTCAGGTGGTTACCCTATTCGTCAATTTCGTTAAGGGCATCTAACAAACGTTGCGATTTTGAGAGCTTTTGAAAGTTCGAACTTGAAAAGTGAACTTGACTCGAGTTGGCGTTGTGAACGTGAGTGCGCACGTTCATGCGAGCGTGTGTGTTTTCGGCACGCACGAACAACTCGCGAAACTAACGACTGCATTGCGAAACAGAAAAAGGTATTATGTTGACTTGGCGAGAATGTACCGGGTAACAAATAGGCTCGAATTCTGGTGTGCGACCTCGCGTGTGTGATTGCATGGTTGCAGTGTTATTCCCGCAGTTTTCTAACTTCTCTACAAGGAAAGTCGAATTTCATTCGACTTAAGTTCAAAGATATTATTCGCCTCCAAAACATGAACTTTGTCACATTTGACGGAAAGAACGCGCCCTTAGGGTCCTGGATTCTGACCAGTGTACCTTTATTTCTGGGAATGCGATCTTGTCTATGTGGGAATGGGACAGAGCAGATGCAACCACGTGCTCACCTTCGACAAACCAACGGGGTTGATTTGAAGTGACACGCCATCAAGCATCTGACGACGTGACATCCCCCCACAGATTTTCTCGTCTCCTCTGGAGGAACAACAAGGCAGGGAAGGGAGTAAATCGTGGCCTTTGTGATGACGCGTGGCGTCAGGAATTGCACACTGCTGTCTTGTGGTGTGACACGGCATTCCCAGACATATGTGCCAATCTCTCGAAGCGAATAGGGTGTGGATAGTTCATGAGCTGTAGTAACAGCGCAGCCAATATATTACATTTTACAACTTCTTGTGAAACCTATAACACAAGGCATCTTGCAATATGTACTAACGCGTGCTAATTATGTCATCAATCTGTTGCTGCACTCAGTATACCCCACACTTATTATAGCATTGCCATTTACATATTTTCTTTAATGCGTAAATATTTTTGAAAGCTCGACGACCAGCAAAGTGAGTGCTTCGAGGAAAGATTGTACCGCAGGTGTGTATATGAGTTGACTTAGCGAATGAATGCGATAAGCCACCAAGCAGAAAGGTATTTTTCCAGCCGTGTTCCAACGACAAATTTAAATAAACCCCACTTTTTTATTGAGCGTGGATTACACAAACAAGTCAATCTTGTCTATTTGCATTGCAGCTATCCTTAAACTGTGCTGACCCAGCAAAACCTTCCCTTTGGATATCCCCCCTGGCCCATTCCCCCCAAAGCACATTACTCCACTGAACCTTTGGTTGATTTGGAAACAGCGTATGCAGCCTAGGGTCGGGAAAGGCGAGCCATGAGCAGTAGAGCACCGCAGCAGCAACGACCCCAGCCCAGGACATGAGCACAAGGGTGCCAAAACACTTGGGATCATAGAAGACTATGGCGAGGGTGAGCATGGCGAGCTCTGCTAGGCTGCTAAGGGCCATCTCTGTGGTCCCAAACAGGTTGGCTGATGCCGCGGAGACAGCCAGAATGATTTGCCCCTCAACGATTTGGTACACCCCCTGGCCCATGCGAGAGAGCACCTGCCACACGATTCAGCGGCATGTAGAAAAGAGTGATCGTTCACACTTACTGCGTGCTTGGTATGGTAGAAACCAAGACCTCATACATACGAAGCATGGCACAGCAAGAAGCATACATGACAGAACTTGTGGCAGACTCACCAGAAGCAAGAGGAAGAGCACGAGCAGGCCTTGGTAAAGGAAGGGAGGGCAGAGAGGGAGAGAGGAGAAGTCAAGCACAGAGAGGGCGAGCATGGTGGCCTGGAAGACAAGCGCGATGCTGCCCGCCTGGTGTGAGTGACACGGGGGAGCAGTGAGGAGAGGACAAGAGTGAAAGAAAATGGAGGAGTGAGGTAATAGAATAGGAAAAGGTCGATGCTCCCCCTCGTCGCATGTCATTGCCCATGAGTAGCTGGTTACCACTAACACTCAAGGTGCAGCTAATGTCTCCACACCGTCGCATCCCACCAGTGCCCCATCACATCCCATCGCTTGCCCCATAACATCCCATCCTGCCCCCATGACAGCCCGCGCACCACCGCCCCCATGGCATCTCAGCAGCGCACCTGCAGGATCCCGAGGCGTGCCACGAGTGCAGGCGATACGAAGGACGCAGCGAAGCCCATGGCAGCACCGGCGCTGCTGAATGCGCCTATCACCCCCATGCCCACCCCTGCATGCACTCACATGAGGCCCAGGTAAGTCGCAGGCACAAGTGGGAGGTAGCAGCAGTTTAGGTACTACAGTGCGTCCTGCAACATAAAGATTTTTATTTGACTAAAGGAGGAGGGGAAGAAGCAATGAACATGGTGGGAGGGGTAGAGGAGGAAGAGGAAGAGGAAGAGGAAGAGGAAGAGGAAGAGGAAGAGGAAGAGGAAGAGGAAGAGGAAGAGGAAGAGGAAGAGGAAGAGGAAGAGGAAGAGGAAGGAGGTCATGAGTACTCCTGGTGCAAGCACAGCATTGAAGCACAGCAGCACATTTGCAATGCTTGCAGGCATCACCGCCTCCTGCATAAAGCTCCTCCACCCCTTCCCCGCTGCTCTCCCCACTGCCCATACCGCTGCTCCTGCTGCTGCTACCACTGCCTCTCCTGACACAACCGCTGCGTTCGCACATCCCCATAGAATCTCCTCTGCTGGTGAAGCACTGGGAGATAATGCTGTGGTTGTTGCGACACGGGCTGAACTGGCTGGTGGAATGGGTGTGATGTCACATGTGGATTCTGCCTCCTGCATTATGGCCAGTAAGCCCTCCCGTCCTGCTGGTTGTTCCTTGCTTGGCTCTGTACAAGCTGCAGCATGCGAAGACAAGATACCAGCCGCGCCACCCGAAGTCGCAGACTCAGCGTCAAAAGCAGCAGCTGCAGGAGTCGCAGAAGCAGGCGGTAGAGCGGCAGTATCAGCAGCATCGTCATGGGAAGAAGTAGACGCTGCAGGCACCAGCCTCTGTGTGGATGGAGTGACCTCAAGGGGACAAGTTTGGCTGAGGGCTTCGTGTGAGAGGTGGTTTGTGAGGGCAGTCAGCGCAAGCTGCACGGGTAACAATGGTACAGGAAGGGGGGAGGGAGGAGAACGGAGAGAGGAAGGGGGAGATGAGTGCTCGAACGATGGGAAAACATGGAAAGGATTGTTAGTAAGGGGCAGGGGGGGAAAGGGGAGGAGGAAAATGAAGGTATGAGCGACAGGGGAAAGAAGAACGTGTTGCAGAAAAAACGTAGAAGATGGACAACGAGGACAGGGTTTGGGGAGTCTACTAAACGCGACTTGTGGATAGAAGGTGCAAAAAAAGAGAACACAAGGATGGCTGGAGGTAGGTTCTGAGAGAGATACAGGGAAGGCAGACGCTGGAGACAGGGAAGGGGGATGAAGAAAGGCCGGGGCAACGCGGGTTCTTGACATGTGCAAGATAAAATCACGTGACAGCAGCAGGCTTTAGAATAGAAAGTGTAGCAGCGTAAAGAAGGAAGGAGTGGCACAAGCAAGGGAGCATACAAGAGCTGGGATGGAGAGGGCAGCGAGAGCAAGGCATGATTTGACACAGACTAGCGGCCCATACGTGGCAATGAGGCTCCCAAAGATGAATGCCCCTGCCACCTGCAGAAGGGGGACGGCGAGCAGCGAGAGGGGAAAAGAATGGGACACAAGTGAGAGTGGGCAGAGGCTATGGAGAAGGGAGAGCAGAAAGGGGGATGCGCAGCCTTACCAAGGATAGACAAGAAAAGGAGAGAGTATAGGCCATATCGCGAGAGGCAACGCAGTTGGAAATTGAGCAGGAAGACAGCGCAACGTGCATGCATGACGTGTGCAGCAGAGGAGAGCGGGTGAGACACACACACTGAACAGACTGCACAGCTTGCCTCACTCACCTCGCACAAGAGCTCCACCCTCCCCAGCGTGGCCATGGCCATTGCCATGAGCACTGGCCGATCCTCTCCCACCAGCTGAACAAAAAAGGTGGAAGGAAGAACAAAAAAGGCACTTGTTGTGAGGCACCGTGCACGGATACACCCATGAGTAACAATGTACACACGTACCCTTGCCCCCAAGCGTGTAAGAGACGCAATACGCTATTGGCGGCGAGCGTATATAGCTTACCTATGCCTAGCCTACCGTATGCAGCATTTATTATTAACATCACCAATGACAAGCCGTCCATGTTGTAACACTCAACAAACAAGAAGTTGTCGGACTAGCGAATTCCGAGCGCATGGCCTAACGACGCTTGAAAGGAGAGCGATTCTATGCTAACGAACTCGGTCACTTAGCCATGTGCTATGGCACTACTGGGACTCGTCCTCCCATCCTCCCATGCTCACATTTCACTCGCGCAACCACGCACCCGTTGCACCCACCCACCCATGCTCCCAAAAGGGCCCACAAGAGAGAGAGAGGGCAGGGCACGCACCACGAGCACCCAGTCGATCTCCACAGCCACGCCTGTGGCCAGACCCATGAGTCGCTCCACTGCACCCGCCACCACCACCACCACGAACCACCCCTGCTGCAGCACCGCCGTTGCGGGTAGAGCACACAGCGCTGACGTGCCGGGTGTGCTGGCAGCAGCTGCTGCTGCTGCAGCGTCAGGGAAGGCGAGGTGCAGCGCGTGCATGGTGGCTGCTGCTCCCACCATGATGGCTGAGGACTGAATGCAGGGAAGGCGTGAGAGATGCCGCACAGGGGAAGAGAGGGGAGGAGAGGTGAGCAGTGCGTAGGGGAGACTAGAAGGCATGGCGAGATGGCCGGAAACCGGGAGTGACAATGGACGGGGAAAGAAAGAGAAGGGCGCAGTGTGGGAGGAAGGGTGTTGCTGTGGGGCATGCGTGCGATGAGCTGACCTGAGTGACGAGAATGGCTGTGAGAGCGGGCACCCTGGGAGCCGAGTCCAATAGGTCGCCCACCAGTGGCGCCGCCACACACGCCACCAGCTGCACGTTGCGGTGCAGAAGACGTGCGGGAGGGGTGAGGGAGGAGAATGGCGGGTGAAAACGCGCAGAAGAAGAGGTGGACGTTAAGTGGAAGAAAACAGGGTGGCGGAACGATTTGAGGGGAGGAAGAATAGTGAAAAAGAAGGAGCTAAAACCATCTAGACTTTAATTCTGTTCATGGGGGATAGATTGGCAATTGTGAGGGCCCGGGCATGCTGTGGCCTGCATATGCGTACACATGGAATGCACACACGTGTAGATACACAATACGCGAGTGCAAGTGCTCACCTGGCTTACGAATCTCGCCACAGCCACTGGCAGTATCGAGTGATGCAATAAAGCGAGCGCAGCTGTCCCTGCAAAGCGCCACGATTGCTCGCCAAAGCAGTTAAAGAGGAATGTCAAGTACAGGGCTGCACAGCAGGGAGGAGACGGACGGTGAGAGGCAAATAATGGGGAAGGTAAGGAAGGGAGGTGAGGCGGGAGGCGCACGGCCTTCCACACAGCGAGACCAGAGATAAGGAAAGGCCCAGTGGGGGAAGGTAAGGAAGGGATGGTGCATGCAGGACAGACTCAGTGCGTCGAAGAGAAGACATAAGGGTGAAAGCCTGGGAGCTCGTGAACGGACCCACACGCCTGGCATGTCAGAGCAATCCACTGAACTTGCCGTGACGTTTGAGACGCCCGGAAGGCCATCGAGGGCCGAGGAGGAAGCTGCCGTGATGTTTGAGGCAGCCTGAAGGCGGCCGCGTTGTATTGCGCGGTCGGTGACATGAGAAGGTAGAAGAACAAGGGCCGAGGAGGAAAGGGACAAGGCACACCGTGGACAGAGGCATGGGTGTGTCAGGTCTGGCGGGGAGCGTGGGCGGGCGGAGGTAAGCGGGGAGAGGAGTGGTCGATCAACGCACCATGCAAAGCAGCGGGATGGGCAGGGCGGAGCGGAGCGGGTGATGCCTCTTCCTCTTCAGGCAATGAATCGCCCGGCGCATCCTGTTCCTTGCCCCGCTCCTCCGCCCCGGCCTCTGCCGCCACGCCGCTTGAACAGCCACTGTCATTACTGGTAGTATCACTGTCGCTGTCACTAATGCCGTCGCAATCGATCCCAATGTCCCTGCCAGCGCTGCTGAGGCTGCTCAAGCTGCTGCCGCTGCTGCTCCTGCTGCTATGACTCAACGTGTGGGCCCAACGGTCCTCACTCAGCGGCTGAGCGGCGGCAGGTGCATCAAACACCTCATGCGTAGGGGGAACTACTATCACTACGTCCAACACATCGCAACGTCTTGAGGTCTCCATGATAATACCTCGTTAATTTTTGACAGAGGGAAGTGACTCAGAAACAGAAACAGTCTGTCGAATCCGAGATTGGTTCGCTCAGAGCCACCGTTTGCCGCTGAGCAATTCTAGTCCGCTTGTTGGAGTGAAGCACTCGTGTAACAAGCAAGGGAATCAACTCCAAACAGCCATCAGATAGTACTATCTCCAGGGGCTGATGCTCAGTGGAAGTGACTGGAATATCAAAACAACGGATATGGGCCATTGCAAGTGCATATAGCCCTGTGTCCTCAGGACACTGAAAAGGGAGAGCACAGTCGGTGGCGAGCTCGCCGGTTTGCCTTTCTCTCAAACGACTCGGTTCCGCAGGCTGCGACCGTCCTCCCATTTCGATCCCGCTCTGGCCCCTCTTACGAGGGCCTGCATCTGCATCGCAAATGAGCCTCTTACGGAGGTTCTCATTTTCCGGCGGTCGACCTCTGGCATGATGATAAAGACTTTTATATTGTCCAACACCCCTCCTGTTCCTACCCACGCTGCAAATTTCACACTCTTAGCCTCTCAGTGCATGTCCGTGGCGGCAGCACGAACTCACTGTATTCTCCAATTTCTTTGATATTTTCTCCTTTTTTCCCGTTTCCGAGGATGGGAACGAGTTTTTTTTACCTTGGTCAGCCCTCGAACGAAGGGGGGATCTTTCAAAAAACAAGGCGGAACCGAGCATATTAAGTCGGCATTGGCCCGCGACTGGGTCCGACCCGAGTCGGGACATGCCTTGCTACTACGGAACAGTAGTGCTAGTAGGGAGGTCGCATCCCACACGAAAAATCGCTCACTTCCACACCACACACGTGGGCTGGATATCACATCACTGCCAGCACAGCATTCGAGATAGAGAGAGAAAAAAGTTCAACGGCGCGTTGCGTGAGACGTGAGCAGAGTCGGCTGAACGGCGGCCACGTGCTCCAGACCTGGACCACACAACCAGAACTGCTCGGGGCCGCATCTTATCTGCTTCAGGGCAAAGTTCAGCTGCCACAGAATGAGGAGGAGCCTAACCCTGAACATCTGGGCTACTCCGCCCCGAGTCCCGCTAATCACTCCGCCTAATCATTCCGCCTCGCCTGGTTTTGCAGCGACCTCGTCCAGGAGGCTACAGCAAAAGTACACGTACACAAGTACACGTGAGGCGCGCACCTGCCTTCTACGGAAGCAAATCGCCTACTACGATGGGCAATGAACGAATCGTCTGTGTCACAAAAACACGCAGAATCTGACAGCGTGACAAAGGTGACAACTGAGCTTCGGAAATATTCGCCAGGTTTTAGTCCCAGAAACATCAGTTGACTTGGATGAATTAGTTCGGAACTGTCGCTGCTGGGTCAGCACTGGAATATGTACGCGTTAATATTTTAACAGAAACTTTATCGGAACGCGTACTATTGACTTCATGTTCGATGGAAACCTCGAGCTCGCCGCCATGGCTGCCATCAGCTAGCCTGGAACTCACATTGCGTGAAGCATGTTTATCAGCTGGCTTTAATTTTACCGGCTTTGGATTCGCTACACCTTTACGTAGAAGACTATACCTTTTATATGTTCATCAGGCGAACATTGTTCGGTCTTCTCAAGGGTGTCTCACGCTGGTTCAAGATACTAAGCCCTTTGCTAACACGTGGTTCCCTAGGTTCTGGTCGACAGGCAATGAACAATCTGAGTTAACTACCATTGGCTGCACAGATGCTACGCAACGGGATGATCCCGAAGTGCTATCTTCAACAATGCAACACCTATGTCAAGAGCAGTGGTCGACATCAGGAGTCTATCAACTACTTAACATTGATGTGCTCAGACGACCGGCTCATCAGTTCGATCATCACTCTCAGCTTTTGCTTCAAGAGCTTCTGCCTGGTCATTGTCATCATCGCACGATGCCTCCGAAGAACTCGCGCGCTAAGCCGGTGGCTGATGCTCCTGCTGGTGGGAGTGATTCTGCTGGGAAGACTTCGCCAGGCAAGGGAAAGGAAGTTATTGATAGTCTTCCGTCGGAAGCGGAAGTGACGGCTGGCAGCTCTGGACTCACCCTTGAGGAGAAGTTGAAGGCGCTGGCTTCGGTGGCCCCTGATGACTCATTCATTGAAGATGACTCGGACGAGGAGCTCGACATTGACGCGAAGAAGAGCTCTTACCCGCACTTGCGTTTCACGGCGATCCTGCTATTCCCGGTTATTCCCTCTTATGAAGTTGCTTCGGTCATCCTGACTGTGAAAACGCTGATGAAACGTGTCTGGTCTAACCTGCTCACTGATGACGTCCTCGCTTCGGTGAAGTTTCAGGAGCTGCTTCCTGCCTTCGTCGCTAAGACCCGCTATAGTCGGCTTCAGGTCTCCTTCCTGCATGAATCTGACGTGGTGAACATCAAGCAGACCGCGGTGGAACACAAGCGCCAAAACGGCACGACGATTCACTGCTTCTGGCTGCATCAGGAGGACGCGGCTTACCTTCGCAAGAAGGCGTCGGGCCCGCAGTTTCTGGAAGTTCTCTTCAAGAACGTCCCTGCTGACATCCCGTCGGAGTTGATTAAGGAGATCATGGTGACTCACCCGCTCAAGATCCGGAAGCAGTCCGCTTTCGCCGAAGGCCACTGCTTTCACCGCGTGCTGCACCCGGTTACTGGAACCGATACGGATAAGGTCAAGGGTTTGGTGCTCCCGCACGCCGGCGACAAGCACCGCTGGCGCCATGAGTTCCGTCATCAGCTGCTAGGAGGAACGACCCTGTTGGCCCACTACCCGTTGCTATCCTGCGCGCTCTGTGGTGGACACCATTATGACAAGTTTCATAATGCTTTCATCACGGAGCGTCAGAATAACATAGGGAAGTGGAGTTTAACGGTGGGACGGGCTCATAGGATCAATGGTAACTGCATCTCACCTCTTTCGGGTTGTCGTTCTGTTTTACCTGTCTTAACGGTTACTGACGCGCTGCTTGCCTCTCGCAGCTGCCTCTCTTCTGATGGATGCGGCTTTCGTGCTGATCTCCACTGGGAGCAACCGCGAGGAATGGCTGTGTACCCTCGAGAGCTGCGGGAAGGCCCACGGCAAGTCCTTCATGGCTGCAGCAGATCATATCACGGCGGCGAGCCACCTGCTGGGCCTGGAGAAGCTGGGTGCCGCCACTCGCTGTTCCCTGGAGAGGCTGGGTCTGCATATCATCCGCAAGGAATACCAGATCTGAGATCCTCACCCGCGTACCTGATGCAGAGTAGAGTTGCTGTGGAGCTGATGCTTGTTTGTGTAGTCGTAGCCGGTTGTACCCGCCCGTGGATGCGATGGGGCTTGTCATCAGTGATTAAATGAGTACGAAGAGCCTGTTATCATTTGCAGGCCTGAATGCCAACGGCCTGGGGGACGGGAACAAGCAACAACGCACGAAATCATGGATCAGACAAGCAGCAGATGTCATTGTGTTAGCTGACGTTAGGCTCTCGGACGATCACACCTTCTGGAAGTCTCTTAACCAACCCAACATCCTAATCGCCTCTCCAACCTCTAAAGCCGGGGGGGTGGCTCTTATCTGCCGCAGGCCTGGCCTCTCCCTCCATAACACGCTCGTCCACCCGTCAGGCAGACTTGTCGTGGCGGAGGTTCGCCTTGATTCCTTCAGCATCACCCTGCTGGCTGTCTATCTCCCGGCGGATTCGGTCGAAAGAAAGGCTTTCGTCCGCAGGACGCTGGGCCAAGTGGTTGATTCGGTGCAGCCGGGGTCGCACTTGCTTATCCTGGGGGATTTCAACCTGGTAGAGGACCCGCTGCTGGACAGAACGTCGAAGAAAGGGTCAGCAAAAGAGAACGAGGAGCTGTATCAGCGGTGCTGTGCTTTCAATGTTTCAGACGCTTTCAGGGTGCTGCATCCTTACAAGCGGGAGTTCACCTTTTACTCGTGCGCTAACTAGTCCAGCTCGCGAATTGACAGGGCGCTTATTTCGCAGTCGCTGCTGTCGCACGTGGAGTTTGCCACGCACATCATGCCGGCGGACCCGATCTCGGACCACAGCTTTGCGGTGAAGGCTTTTTTCAGGATGGACACGCGGGTGAAGCTGGGCCCCGGGCTTTGGAGGTTGCCTGCATACATGATTGGTCGGCCGGGGGTCAGAAAGATTATTGAAGCAGTGGAAAGGCAGGTGGCGTCAAACGGAGAGAACTTTGAGCTGCTGATCTCGCGGCTTAGCGCCGGCCTTCAATCTTACGTAAAGGAGGAACGCAAGCGGGTTAAAGCCACAATGACCCACCTTCAGGATGCGGTTGCGGCGGTGAAACAAGCGTGGATGGGTGATCCGGGGGACGACCGGCTGAAGGCTTTGCTGGTAGAGAAGGAGTCGCAGCTTCGCGGTTACCAACTGGCAAGGCAGGAGAGGCTGCATGAGATGGCTGGCATGAACGAGGCGGTGGCTGGGGAGGTTGCGTCCCCGTTCCTGTCAGGGAAGATTAAAGCAAGGCGGGAGAAAACGCAGATCAAGGAGCTGAGTGCTGGTGGTATGACGGTCACTGACAACAAAGCGATTCTGGGGGTTGCGTCGCAGTTCTACAGAAACCTCTTCGGGCACGACAGGCAACAGATTGAGTCGGGCTGGGTACCTGCCGCTGGCAGAACGCTGTCGCCGATAGCTCGGGAAAGGCTGACGGCGGCTTGGTCGGAGAAGGAGGTGAAAAGTGTGTTTCATGCGATGGCGAAGAATAAGGCTCCAGGAAATGATGGGTTGCCGAAGGAGCTTTTTGAGGAGCACTGGGATGTGCTGGGTAAGCACTTCATGGCGCTGGTGGAGAGTTTCACCGAGACGGCGGTGCTCCCTGCAAGTACAAAGAGTGCCGTCACTATTCTGTTGCACAAAAAGGGCGGAAGGGATGCGATGGAGAACTATCGCCCAATCACGCTGCTGAGCTTCACTTACAAGGTGTTGGCGCGGGTGGTCGCAGACAGAATGAAAAGAGTCTTGAACGAGGTGATCTCGCCGGAGCAGTACGGGTTCCTGCCGGGTCGGAGGCTCTCGGATGCGGTGGGGTTGGTCGCGGATGTGATCGACGCTGCTAAGAACGAGCAGGCGGACTAGTACCTCCTGCTGGTGGATTTCCAGAAGGCCTTCGATTCAGTCTCGAGGAACTATCTGTTTCTGGTGCTGGAAAAGATGGGTTTCCCCAGCAGGTTCGTCGGCTGGATCAAGGGCCTGCATGAGGAGACACAGACACGGCTGCTCGTCAACGGCTGGATGGGGGAAGTGGTTGAGGTAGTATTGGGGGTGCGGCAAGGCTGCCCTCTCGCGCCGTACCTTTTTCTGTGTGCCGTTGAGCCGCTGGCGCAGGAAGCCGTGAACCGCAGCCTAGGTCTCACAGGGGGCGCTCAACGGCTGGCTTATCTGGGGTACGCGGACGACACGACGTTGCTCCTGCAAGGGGAGGGCCAGTTAGCAGAAGCTGAAAAGCTGCTTGACGACTTTGCAAAGGAATCGGGGCTGGCGACCAATAAATCAAAGTCGACCGTCTTACCTTTGGGCAGTAATCTAAATAAGCAGGCCAGCAAGACGGATGGCTTCAAATGGGTGAAGGCCGATGAGGCGGAGCGTCTGTTGGGGGTCTGGGTGACGCCGGCCGGCTGCTGCGCGCCCACCTGGGAAAAGGCTTTCGCAAAAATTGAGGAGAAGCTGAGGCAGTGGGAGGTGCAACACCTGACAACCGAGGCGAGAGCAGCGGTTATTAACTGTTACATCTCGCCCATCATCTTCTTTCAGGCGCAGGTGTATCCACCTCCGGTTGACATCTGGGGGAGGATTCTGAAGCTGACCCACAATTTCATGTCGGGGAATCGGGCCACCACAGACAAAGCTTTCATTCTGTGGAGCAAGGAGCTGCTCTACATGGCTAGAGAGGACGGGGGTGTGGGGGTGAACGATCCGGAGATAGCCCTCACATGTCTCACGGCGAGGCGTATGTCAAATTATATGTTTGTTATAATTTAGTTCTAGGTTGTGTAGGGGTGTTTCTTAGAGGGTACTTCTATTCTCTCGACACTCTCTTGTACCCCCTCCCCTAACCTAATCGATGATCTATTCCTCTCAATCCTGACATGGTATAGAGCAGGAAGGTTCCTAGGGCCCACCACGGTTCACGAATTTTTTTTTCCTGCCCGGAGCGCGCTTCGCGCCTACCCTAGTCGCGCCCCGTGCGCCTTTTCCTTCACGGCCCGTCGCGGCCTCTTCTTACTGTTTCCTCGCGGCCCCCCGTTGGCCCCTCGCGACCCCCGCTTAAGGAACCAAAACGGCCCCCCCTTTCGCGGCCGCGTCGCCCCCCCCCCCATCGCGGCTCTGACGCCGCCCTGTCGCGGCCTCGTAGCCGCCCTTCCGCGGCCTCGTCGCCACCCATTTCGCGGCCTCGTCGCCGCCCATTTCGCGGCCTCGTCGCCGCCCATTTCGCGGCCTCGTCGCCGCCCTTTTTGCGGCCCCGTCGCCGCCCTACCCTTCGCGGCTCTGTCGCCGCCTCTCGCCGCCCTTCGCGGCTCCTCCAGGACCCGTCGTGGTCCCCTTCGCACGTGTCTGCAGCAGCTGCCGCCGCCGAGCCTGCAGCAGCAGCCGCCGCCAACCTTCAGCAGCTGCAGCTGCAGAGCCTACAGCAGCAGCCGCAGCCGGACCTGCAGTAGCAGCCGCCGCCGAGCCAACAGCAGCAGCCACCGTCGGACCTGCAGTGGCAGCCGCCACCAGACCTACAGCAGCGGCCGCCACCGACCCTGCAGCAGCAGCTGCCGCCGACCCTGCAGCAGCTCCCGCCGCCGAACCAGCAGCAGGAGTCGCCGCCGAACCTACAGCAGCGGCCACCGCCGTCCCTACAGCAGCTGCCGTCGCCGAGCCAGCAGCAGCAGCCGCCGCCGTACCTGCAGCAGCTGCTGCCGCCGAGCCTACAGCAGCAGCCGCCGCTCGAGACTACAACAGCAGCCGCCGCCGTCCCTGCAGCAGCGGCCGTTCCCGAGCTTGCAGCAGCTGCCACCGCCGTCACGACTACCTCGGCCCTACCGCACTACTGCTGCTACTGCCACTGCTACTGACACTGCTACTGTTCCTCCTACTGCTACTATGGCTAGCCCTCCTGTGCTAGCCTTCGATGCTGAGGGCCGCCCAGTGAAGTTTGACACCTGGCTAGATGACCTGCACCTCTTCCTACAGCTCACTGCCAAGGAGGACATTTCACTGTACGATCACGCCCTAGGCCACGCTACTGCCCCTGACACTTCTACTGACAGCACTCTGCGCTCCCAGTGGCAGACCCGTGACGCGCACGCTCGCTTCGCTATTCGCAACTCCCTACCGCTAGATGAGCGCGAGCACTTCGGCCAGTGCAAGACTGCTAAGGAACTGTACACAGCCGTAGTTGCTCGCTACTCCTCACCTGCGTCTGCCGCACTAGGCCGCCTCTCACTGCCCTACCTGTTCCCTGACCTGGCCTCCTTTCACACTGTTGCTGACCTCATCACCCACCTCAAGACTAGTGAGGCCCGCTTTCGCGCTGCTATGCCTGCCGAGTTCCTTGCTAGCAACCCCCCCCCGCTCTGGCTCACTCTCTACCACATTGTCACCCGCCTCCCTGACTCTCTACGCGCAGTCAGGGACTCCTTTCTAGCTCGCTCCCCTACTGAGCTCACCATTGCCCTCCTTGAGAAGGACCTACTTGCAGCTGAGGCGAGCATCGTCGCCGTAGGTGCCTCTCGTGGCGACCCCCGCACCCCCTTCTTTGAGGGGTGTTCCCCTTCCCCCCTCCTCCCCTCTGTCGCCTCTGCTGCTGCTGTCGACCTCCTTGGTGCTGAGAAGGTCGGGACCGCGTCTGCTTCGAGCGGGCGCCGCAAGAGCAAGGGGGGCAAGGGTGGTGGTGGTGGCGGAGGAGGTGGGGGTGGAGGCGGTGGGAGTGGAGGAGCGACGGGGGAGGCTAGTGGTGGCAATGGGGGTGGTGACGGCAGCGGCGGGGGCGGTGGCAGGGGCGGGGGCGGCAGCGGGGGCGGAGGTGGTCGTGGCAGCGGCAGGGGAGGCGGTGGTCGCGGAGGTGGCGGCGGCGGTGGTGGTCGTGGAGGCTATGGCGGTGGCCAGACTCAGCAGCTCGCCCCGACCCTCCAGGCCGCCCGTGAGTGGTATTCGCAGCGGGGGGGGGCGGGTGGTGTTACCTGCACGTAGGTCATCCGCACTGGTGACCGCACTGGCCAGCAGTGTGGGAGGCCACACCCCACGCAGCGCTGTTACGCGCGCCTTACCGACGCTTGGCGCGCTCAGTTCCCTGGTGGCGCTGAGCTGCCCCGCTGGGGTGAGCTGGAGAGGCAGGGGGTTGATATCTGGGCTTTAGACTATGATGCTATTCTCACTGCCATGTATGCGATGTTTACTAGTGGAGAGGGTGCTCAGTACTTGCGTGTTCCGCCCGACCCGGGCATTCTGACCAGTCCCACTGCCGCTCTAGGTGCTCGTGAGCTTGCTGCCCCAGGTACTGGTGAGGCTGCTGCTCTAGGTGCTCGTGAGTCTGTGCCCCCTGGTACTGAGTCGACTGCAGCACTGCACACCTTCACACTGGACTCAGGTGCTTCTCGCTGTTTCTTTCGTGACCGCACTGTCCTTGAGCCACTCGCTCGGCCAGTTGCTGTCTCCCTCGCTGACCCCTCTGGGGGTCCGGTCATTGCGACCTCCTCCACTGTCCTTCCCTGTCCTGCGGTCCCGTCGGGCACACTGTCAGGTCTCCACCTCCCCTCGTTCTCTACGAACCTGGTGGCAGGCTGTGCGCTCCAGGACGGGGGTGTTCACCAGTTCACCCCTGCCTACGAGCGTGTGACACACTGCACGTGTGCTCGGACGGGTCGCCACCTAGCTACCTTCACTCGGGAGCCGGGGTCGGACCTGTACACACTGACCACTGAGTCCCCTCAGGTAGCTGCGTCTGCGTCTGCGTCAGGTCAGCTGTCCGCCCCCTGCTCGTGTCGCTCTCTGGCGCACGACACTGTCCTCTGGCACCACCGACTTGGCCACCCGTCTGTGCAGCGCCTTCGCGCCATGCACAAACGGCAGCTTGTCTCTGGTCTTCCCAGGGTTCTCCCTCCCCTCCCACCCTCGCCTGCTCCTGACTGCCTTCCCTGTGTCGAGGGGCGGCAGCGCGCCGCTCCTCACTCCTCCTCCTTCCCCCCGACGACTGCTCCCTTGCAGACGCTCCACATGGACATGTGGGGCCCAGCCCGCGTCCGTGGTCAGGGTCAGGAGAGGTACTTCCTGATAGTTGTTGACGACTACTCGCGCTACACCACGGTCTTCCCCTTGCGCACCAAGCTTTCTCTCGTTCTCTCTCTCGTTCTCTTTCTCTCTCGTTTCTTTCTCTCTCTCTCTCTCTCTCTCTCTCTCTCTCTCTCTCTCTCTCTCTCTCTCTCTCTCTCTCTCTCTCTCTCTCTCTCTCTCTCTCTCTCTCTCTCTCTCGTTCTCTCTCTCGTTTGTTCTCTCTCGTTCTCTTTCTCTCTCTCTCTCTCTCTCTCTCTCTCTCTCTCTCTCTCTCTCTCTCTCTCTCTCTCTCTCTAAGCTAAGGTATATCGTTGTTTCCTGTTTTGTTACTTGCTCTGTTTTTTGCGTTCTGTTTTTTAACGTATAGCGTTGTTCATCATTTTTTTACCTTACCACCATTAGATTGCATTCTGTTTGGTTATTATAATATTCTCCTCATTTGACTTACTTTCTTTTCAATTTTCTCCACATTTTGATAATTCTTTTCTTCTCTCCCCTCTTCCTTCTTTCCCTCTCCTTCATTCGGTGCCTATTTGTTTTTCCAGATTTCCTTCTGGCTTTCGTTCCAGATGTGTACATCTGCCAAGATTACTTGTGAAGTGGATAGTAGTGGTAATCTGTAGGATTGTTTTGTATTGCATGTTTTGTTGTTTTTAGAGTTTTTTGCATTTACGGTGTTTTTTTTCCGTTTGTGTGAATGTGTGTGATCTTGTATATGTGTTTGTATGTGTGTGTGTGTCTTTGTGTGTGTGTGTATGCTGTGGCTGTGTGCATTCATCCGTATCCATTGCAATAACAACGCACGTCTTTGATCTTTAAAAAGAAATCTCAAATCTATCATTTCACAAAAGGTTCATTGGCGCACTCAGTGACTCGTGTGCGACCACTTCGAACTGGATTTGATAGAGATGACTTTCTTTTTAGATTTCACAGATTGTGTTGTTTCATGTGGTAGTTGATTATTCAAAAGCTAAGCTATTTACCTCCCCCCCATGCTAGGCAGGGGATGGCGGTAGCTTAGTTTTTGGGTTTTTAACTGTCACGCATTTTACCATGTGCATGCGCATCATTCATGATATATCACACGCATTATATAGCATTATTTATGCATTATGCATTGTATAGCATCATTTATGCATTGTGCATGCATCAATTTATTATCACACAACACCATTCAACAGTAAAACATATACGGTAATGCAAACAGTACAGCAAATCTGCACTAAACAACTGCAAAAAAATCATATGGTCTAATACACTGTGAACAGTACCGTAGTCAAGACTGCTTAACATGCATACAGTATGGGAAGGGTATTACTGTAGTTTGCAAATTTTATTTTCATGTTTTAACAAAAAATATAAACATGAAAATAAAATTTGGCAAAATCGATCGTAAAGGGTTGCTTCGCAACCCAAAAAAAACAGAAACTTTATCGAGCCCCAATGATTCTTACAAGGTACAACAGCAAACAACCAACCTCCAAAAAGGGAGGGACACGTTTTCTCCCTTGAATGAAAAACACCCACCCACATTGCGGGAATTTGCGAAAAAATCCCTGCTCCTCGGACAAGGCCATGTGTGATCTGATCTGCCAAAAGTTTCAATATTGGTTGGGGTTATTTTAGTGCAGCCACGTTACAAAATGTGATATACCATATAAGCGTTTGTATACGTAATGGTTCAGTTATTCAAGAATCTTTGGGGTCCACCTATTGCCTCTGTAATTGTTCATGTACGTACGGTATGCTATTCGGTTTTAGTGGTGTACTCATTATAGACTCCAGGCAATAATTTCTACAGCTCCCCTCAACCCCACTTTTCATTGAACATGGATAACACAAACAAGTGCGTCCTCTACACCTGCCTTCTGCATCTCTGTCTATCTTGTCTATTCCCACCTACCCTTATACTGCGCTCACCCAGGATAACCTTTTCCCTTTGTCTTTTCCTCCTGTCCCATTCCCCACCAAAACACTGTTCCCCACTGAACCTTTGGTTGAGTCGGAAACAGCGTCTGCAGCCTAGGGTCGGGAAAGGCGAGCCATGAGCAGTAGAGCACCGCAGCAGCAAGGACGCCAGCCCAGGAGATGAGCACAAGGGCGCCAAAATACTTGGGATCATGGAAGACTATGGCGAGGGTGAGCATGGCGAGCTCTGCTAGGCTGCTAAGGGCCATCTCCGTGGTCCCAAACAGGTTGGCTGATGCTGCAGGGACAGCCTGAATGATTTGACATCCAACGATTTGGTACACCCCCTGGCCGATGCGAGACAGCACCTGCCACACGATTCAGGGCCACAGAAAGAGAGTCATCCTTCGCACCTACAGCGTGCTTGGTATGGCAGAAACTAAGACTCGGTCGGTACATACGAAGCATGGTACAGCAAGAAGCATGTCTGGACAAGACTTAGAATTCGCCTTAGTGATAAGCTGTTCTTTTTTAGCAGACTCACCAGAAGCAAGAGGAAGAGCATGAGCAGGCCTTGGTAGAGAAAGGGAGGGCAGAGAGGGAGAGAGGAGAAGTCAAGCACAGAGAGGGCGAGCATGGTGGCCTGAAAGAGAAGCGCGATGCTGCCCGCCTGCCGTGAGCGACACGGGGGAGCAGTGAGGAGGGGACGAGGGTGAAAGAAAAAGAGGGAGGAATGAGCTGATAGAAGAAGGAAAAGAGGGGACCATATTTTCCCCCGTTGCATGTCATTACCACTGAAATTCAAATTGCGGCTTTATGATTCCACACCCGTTGCATCCCACCAATGCCCCCATCACAACCCATCGCTTGTCCCATGACATCCCATCACTGCCCCCATCACATCCCATCACTGCCCCATCACAGCCCACCACCGCCCCCACGGCATCACCGGCATCTCAGCAGCGCACCTGCAGAATCCCGAGGCGTGCCACGAGTGCAGGCGACACGAAGGACGCAGCGAAGCCCATGGCAGCACCGGCGCTGCTGAATGCGCCTATCACCCCCATGCCCACCCCTGCATGCACACTCACATGAGGCACAGATTAGCCGCACCCACAAGTGAGAAAACAGGTTGCAATAGAGAGATTTGGCACTGATAAAGGGAGGAGGGGACGAAGCAATGAGCGTGGTGGGAGGGAGGGGCAGGCAGAGGAACGGACCGTGGTGGAAGAGGAAGGAGGTCATGAGCACCCCGGGTGCAAGCATAGCATTGAAGCACAGCAGCACATACGCCATACTCGCAGGCATCACCGCCTCCTGCATAAAGACTCTCAACCCCTTCCCTGCTGCTCTCCCCACTGCTGATGCTGCTGCTCCTGCCGCTGCTCCCACTGCCAACCCTGACACTTCCACAGCCTGTGTGTATCTCCAGAGAATCCCCTCCGCTGGTGAAAGACTGGGCAGTAGTGCGGTGGTTACTGTGACACGGGCTGGACTGGTTGGAGCAATGGGTGTGATGTCACATGCCGATTCTGCCCTCCGCATTATGGTCGGTGAGAGCTCTAGCCGTGCTGGTTCCTTGCTTGGTACTGTGCATGCTGCAGCATCCACCACGCAAGAAGCTGCACTCATTGGTACAGGAAAGAGTGCTGCCCCCTGCACCGACTCAGCCGAGACTAGAGCTCCCTTATTCAAGGCAGTAAGAGAAGACGAGATACCAGTAGCACCACCCGAAGTGTCAAAAGCAGCAGCTGCAGAAATTGCAGAAGCAGGCGGTAGAGCAGCAGTATCAGTATTCTCGTCGTGAGTAGCAGGAGACGCTGCAGGCACCAACCTTTCTGCGGATGGAGCGACCTCAAGGGGAATATTCTGGCTGAGGGCTGCATGCGAGAGGTAGTTTGTGAGAGCAGTCAGCGCAAGCTGTACGGGTGACAAGGGTACAGGAAGGTGGGGAGGAGAATGGGAGAGAGGGGGGAAGGGAAGGGAGGGGAGTGCTTGAATGATGGGAAAACATGGAGACGATTGTGAATAAGCAGGGCGGGGGTGAGGGCAGGCGAGGGAAATGAAGGTGCAAGTGACAGGGGAATGAAGAAGGGAATGACGAATGTACTGCAGACATGGTGAGGACAAACAACGAGAAGAGGGTTTGGGGAGTATATTGAAGGCGACTTGTGGATAAGAGGTGCAAAGGCGAACGCGGGGAAAAGGAAGGAAGAGAAGGCGAAGCGGGTGCTTGACATATGGAAGAAAAATTCATGTGCCGCAGCAGAACATCGATTAGAAGTCACGTGTTGGCGGCAGAGGTAGAATAGAAAGTGTAGCAGCGTAAAGAAGGAAGGAGTGGCACAAGCAAGGGAGCATACAAGAGCTGGGATGGAGAGGGCAGCGAGAGCAAGGCATGATTTGACACAGACTAGCGGCCCATACGTGGCAATGAGGCTCCCAAAGATGAATGCCCCTGCCACCTGCAAAGGGGGATCGAGAGCGGTGAGAGAGGGCGAAACGATAGGGACACAAGTGAGAGTGAGCGGCGGCTAGGGAGAAGGGAGAGCAGAAGGGGAGATGCGCAAAATTATCAAGGATGGAAAAAATAGAAAAGAAGAGAGTATAGGACATTTGACGAGAGGAAAAACACTTGGAAAACGAGCAGGAAGACAGCGCGACGTGCACGACATGTGCAGAGGAGCACAGGCGAGTAGGCCATGGGTTTGCACTGTACAGCTTTCCTCACCTCGCACAAGAGCTCCACCCTCCCCAGCGTGGCCATGGCAGTTGCCATGAGCACTGGCCGATCCTCTCCCACCAGCTGAACAGTGTGCAGGGTGGAGTGGGAGGAAGAACAAAGGCGTCTGTGAGGCATCATGCATGCACGTACCCATGTAACAATGTACATGTACACATGTACCCTTGCCCCCATGTGTGTAAGTGACCGAATACGCTATTGTCGGCACGCACCACAAGCACCCAGTCGATCTCCACGGCCACGCCTGTTGCGAGCCCCATGAGTCGCTCCACTGCACCCGCCACCACCACCACCACGAACCACCCCTGCTGCAGCACCGCTGCTGCCGGCAGCACACACAGCGCTGACGTGCCGGGTGTGCCGGCAGCAGCTGCTGCTGCCTCTGCGTCAGGGAAGGCGAGGTGCAGCGCGTGCATGGTGGCTGCTGCTCCCACCATGATGGCCGAGGACTGGGCGCAGGGGAGACAAGAGAGATGGCATTGAGAGATGGCATTGAGAGATGGCTGAAAAACGAGAGCGGCAATGGAGGAGGAAAGAGGAGGGAGCAGTGCGGGAGGAAGGGTGTTGATGTGGGGAGTGTGTGCGATGAGCTGACCTGAGTGACGAGAATGGCTGTGAGAGCGGGCACCCTGGGAGCCGAGTCCAATAGGTCGCCCACCAGTGGCGCCGCCACACATGCCACCAGCTGCACGTTGTGGTGCAGAAGAGGTGAATACGTGCGGAACGATTTGAGGGGAGAAAGAAGGGTAACGAAATGAAGGGAGCTAAATCCATCTGAACCGAAAATATGGGCATAGGGGAGAGATGGGCAATTGTGAGGGCTTGCGCATGCTGTGGCATGCATATGCGTGCGCATGGAATGCATACACGGGTATCTGCACATCAAGAGAGTGCATGTGCTCACCTGGCTTGCGAATCTCGCCACAGCCACTGGCAGTATCGAGCGATGCAATAACGCGAGCGAAGCTGTCCCTGCAAAGCGCCACGATTGCTCGACAAAGCAGTTGATGACGAATGTCAAGTACAGGGCTGCACAGCAGGGACGAGACGGACGGTGGGAGTGGGAGGCAGGGGGGGGAGGGGGGGGAGGGGGGCAAGGGGTGGGGGGGGGGGGGGGGGGGGAGGAATGGAGGCAGGTGCCGCACGGCCTTCCACACAGCGAGATCAGGGATATCGCCATTTCCTTCTCAGGGGGGAAGGCAAGGAAGGGATGGTGCATGCAGGACAGTTGTCAGAAGCTTCATTTACATGACTAAGAACAACTGCTGAAGGCTTGGGAGCTCGTCAACGGACCCACATGCCTGCGAGGGCAATCTACGGACCCTGCCTCGACGTTTGAGTTGAGTTTTGTCGACTCACAAGTTAGTTAGTGAACGGATTCACACGCCTGCCACGGTAATCCACAGAACCTGCCTCGACGTAGAGGCAGTCAGAAGGTACTACCTTTCGCTTAACATTTCGGGGACGGTGACATGAAAAGCCCGAAGAACAGGGTGAAGGCGAGGGAAGGGACAAGACATACCGTTGACAGGCCTGTAACTAAGGACATAGGTGTGTCAGGTCTGGCGGGGAGCGTGGGCGAGCGGAGGTAAGGGAGGAGAGAAATGGTCGCTCGACGCACCATGCAAAGCAGCTGGATGGGCAGGGCGAGCAGGTGATGCCTCTTCAGGCAATGACTCTCCCGTATCCTGCTCCTTGGCCCGTTCCGTCCCGGCCTCTGCCGCCTGCCCGCTTGAATAGCCACTGTCATTACTGGTATCACTTTCATTGCTGCTATCACTGTCGCTGTCACTGCTGCCGTCTCTATCGGCGATCCCAATGTCCCTGAAACTGCCAGCGCTGAGGCTGCCATCGCGAAAAAGGCTGATCCAAATTTCAGGGCCCCGTAGGTTTTTCCACCAAAAAGCTCCCAGAAAGTCACGACGTCATACAAAAAGTCCCAGCCGGGATGGTGACGGAAATGTCACATTAACGTACACCGCAAACGTGACAAAAAAGTCACGCTGTTGTAACTTCCCAGTGACTAGAAGCTGTTAGTCGCAAATGCGTCCACGGAATTGGCTAGGAAGTAGATGGCCTGGTTTCGCACGAGAATTACGACAGTGGTTGAAAGCGTTTGAAGGCGGTTTACCTGTGTATTGCTGAATGAGAAAAACAAACCAACTTGAATGCAGTGATCACGAGGCATGCGAAGCAACCCGAACACTAGCGAAACAAATAACAGACGGTGAAACTACTTCGTGACGGTCGTAAAAAACAAAACGAAGATTTTTGCGCTTCGATGCTACACGTCAGACTCGACAGTGGCGTGTGCAAACCAATCAAGGCTACTCTAGGGAAATGTGCGTCGCATCAAGGTTTCGCGAACGTTCCACGTCACACCTTTTAAACCCCCATCTTTCCCAACCTTCCTGAACCGTCTAAGCCGAGCCTCAAGAATCATTTGAGCCAATCGTTGGAGTGCACCTAAACAAAACTTTCACCTTCCCTTATCCTCCCACTATTCACACCGAACCGGACCGTGGATCACCCAAACCCCCATCAACCTTCACTTTCCCATACAAATGCTCCCTGCATCTCACAGTTTGTTCAAACCTTGTTTGTGTGGCCTCCTATTTGTCACACCCATCTAGCACACTCAGCCAACTGTGCTCTACCTTCATGCTCTAGGCTTACACACTACAGCTTACCTCTCCATAGGCGGTGTGTTTATACCTATCGTTGTTCAACCCCCACCACGTGTTTTTTTTCATTAGAGAAGCTACTTGGAACCGCATACCTCATTCTCTCTCTACTCTCCCCATCCGCCCCCCCACTTGCCAACATGCCACTCCCCTCTGGTGCCCCGCGTGGCAGATCACAGCGCTTCAACGCCGCAAGCATAACGATGTTAAACCGCCACCCAGGCAACCGGTGGGGTCAACTGTACTGGTCAGTGCCCAGTGTGTTGCCTGGCTCAAACACCTTCTCTTTAACGCGTGGCAGATGGCCTACGCGACTGCGTAGCCCTTTGTTTCCTATGGTCTCGATTCTCTCTCTTCTTCATATTGCTTTTGTTTATCTCTTTGTGGCAGAACGCAAGGTGCAGTGCGACTGCAGCCAGCACCACCAAGGAGCATGTCATGCTACTTTGTGCAGCATGTTCGAAAAACAGCGACAAAAGTGCAGTGGCGCATATTCCAGTTCGACCGTTCCGTACTTCGCTTTTGTCATTCAGGCAAGCTTTGATGCTGACTGTGCGATTTTGCGACCGACAGAGCATCATGACGTTGGCTTGTGTGTGTGCATGTGGATCTGTCGTGACGTCATCCCTGCTATTTTTGGTGTTAAAACATAGGTACCGTTGCACTAGCCCCTCGAACGCTCCGCCCCATGTTTCCTGAGACTCACGATCTATTGCTATGATTGTCTTGCGGGTTTCATCACTCACATAACTGGTGATGTTTTTGTGTGCAGATTCATCACGTTCCATTTTGTTCTGTATTAGCTTTCTTCTTTTTTGCAGGTTTGACAGTTCCGAACGACCATACTGGCAAGATGTTTTCGTAGCCACGCCACGGTGTTCCGGGCTACACGTTCGTACATTTGCGCAGTTGCTCGCCAATCGTACATCTGCGCAGTGGCTTTAGTTCGTACATCTGCGCAGTGGCTTCAGTTCGTACATCTGCGCAGTGGCTTCAGTTCGTACATCTGCGCAGTGGCTTTAGTTCGCACATCTTTCGGTAGCTTTAGTTCGTACATCTGTGTAGTAACTTGTATGTTGCGCATGTGATGTGACTAAAGGAGCCCATTCGAAATGCCAGCTGCTGTATTCTGAAATTTCCGCGTACGGAAATGGGCGATGCTGCGTCGCTCGATAATAATCGCCACCCAATCATAAAACATTTCTGCACCCACGTCCCCGAGGTTTGATTGGTTCATATCCACCAATCAACGACAATGACACGTGGCAAAATATCTTGGCATACGTGACACGTGGCAAGGTTACATAAAAGTGACGAGAAAGTCGCTTCACCAGACACTCTACTGTGACATTCTGTGTGACATTATGTCACATTTACGTGACATTTCCGTGACAACGCAGGGAACATCGTGGCCGGTACTTTCAACCATGACTAAAAAACGCCGGACTTGCTCTCACAAAAAAGTCACATTTCGAGCACTTTTTTGTGACTTTCGGCACTTGCCATTTTCGCGATGGCTCAAGCTGCTGTCGCTGCTGCTCCTGCTGCTATCCCCCCAACGGCCCTCACTCAACAGCTGAGTGGTGTCAGGAACATCATGGCTAGTAACTACGACTTGGAAAATCTCACAAGATCGTACTGAGGTCTCCATCTCGTCCATCTTTTACGACTGAGTAGTAGAGAGAGAAGAGACTCACTAGATGGAGACCTAAACAGAGTACTCTGTCGAATCCGAGATTGGAACAGCCTATTTCACTCAGAACAGGCCGTTTTGGCCAGCACGGTGTGACTCCAGATGCCCGTCGGACCGGATCAACACTCGAGTAACAAGCAAGGGAACCAACCCCAAGCAAGAGGAGGGCCGTCGGATATTTCCAGGGCCGACGCTCCGTGGCAGTGCCTGGGATATCGAAACAGCGAATTTGGGCCATGTGTTTACACCGGGGTGGCCGTCTAAGACCGACGTTGCATTGCAATGCATAGCACAGTGTCGTCGTTTCGCGAGTCGCGACGCAATCATCTTCCGATGATCGACCTCTGCCATGATGCGGACTTCCATGAGCATCTCCCACGAAATCAAGCGCTCACTCTCACACCACACAAAAAGAGCACCACATGAACGTGTACAGCACTACACGTATGCTGGATACAGTACACCCTCATTCTCAGTCTACGCACAATCGGGAGCAGCGACAACAGTGTTGTCAGGTAGCGTCTCTGTGCTTGTGGCCGAACCCCCTAATGTTGCCAGGCACACCATGCACCAAGCGCCAAAACAGTAACATTCGAAACGACTTGTTCACTTTGTCCTACACTGTGGCCAAAGATTCCACATCAAAACACACAAGAAACAGACAATTCCTAACACAGGTTCAAAACACATACAGAATATCTACGTTCGGTAGAAAGGGGTAACGTATGGTAGAGCGAAAAGCAACGGCAGCCAACCACACATGTGAGCGCACTGTACACTTCCTGCCAGTCAAAGTCAACAGCTGCATTACCAACGTGGCAGTCGTGATTGTGCTTGTAGAGTATGTGCATGCACCATTCTAGGCACGTTGCAGTCACTACAAGCGTTCGGTGCATGTGGCGATTGTGCACAGACTGAGAATGAGGGTGTATAGCGGTTCTGTAGTGCATTCCAGACAAATTCCAACGACTCGTGCCGTGAGGTGCGGAGATACTGTATCCTGCCCTCAACAACCTCATCTGAACAGCCGGCGTTCTCTCCAGCTATGGGCCACAACCTAGAACATCCAGCGGGGCCCTGCTTGTCACTCCGCCTAGGCGGAACAACGTATCAAAGGGGACAAGAGAGCCTCGAGCATAAATCGCTAGAATACAAATCACTTGACTTCCATATCAACAATTTGTTGGAGAAGCGAGATTCTGCCGCTTCAGCCACACAAAGGAAGAGCAAGGGGAGGATGTCGGCGACGGATCGAACAAATCAAAAAGATTCCCAACCAATCAGATTGGGGCCGAATTCTCGATACAGTTCGGAGTTCGTTTCAAGAAGAAGTGTCAATAATTTCTACAAAACAGAATCAGCTATGACATCTTATTCATGCACCTCATGTGGCTCTCAAAGTCACTCAAGGTCCATGGAGTTCAAATTTTCCCAAGTTCCCAAGGAAGCTAACTTGTTTATCAGCCTATTTGAGCTACCAATCCGCTTTGTTTGTGATGCTTAAAGAGTTGTGCTTTAGTGGGCTTGAATAAATTTGAGCATGTACTGAAGTTTTTCTATCATCCAGCAAATTCCAGCAGCTAAATTGAGCTTTCCCAGCCAAGTTTCCAGCCTCGTAGTAGTCACTATCACCCTGTTTTCAAGGAAAATGACTTGTCTCGGTAAAAAATTGTGACAGCCCCCAGCCCTCGGCCGAAGGGGGGGAATTAGGACGCGTCACCTTTCGTAGGTCCCCGTATTCACACGCACGAAATCGATCTTCCACCGTTCATAAACCTGTTGATTACGTCTAGAACCTATTTCAACCCCGTTTTGAAACGACCCTACTCACGATCGATCGTGGGGATCGAAGATAGGTGACACATAGGTATCCCCGACCTGTTCCGAACCTCGGCCTCCCTACGTTCCTGCGTTGCCAGGCTCCTCACTATTTTCTAGATCGTCGCTTGAATAGAAGCATGATGATGGTGTCGCCTGCTGGTTGACTTGGCGCACCTTCTTGTAACTCAGTAACATGTGCATGTGCATAGCGCACCTGCCACAGCTTAGGCCAAGCTACGAAGTGGTCAGAAATACTCTCCTGACGTGCCACGTACTGTTTCTCGTGCTCTTATCCTTTTTTTTTTTTTTTTTTTTAAGGATCGTGCTCAATGAGTCCATTCGACACACCGTGTCAACCAACCGAATCAACCCTATCTCGCAATTCCCGTGGAGTTGCGGAGCTACCAGATGGCTCCACGTGGCTTTCGGTCGTCGCGCGCCACGCGGGAGAGCTGCAGTCTATCCAGCACCAGCTACAGGTGCGACGCCTTAGAATCACGTTCAATCGTCGCATCTTGTCGAATCTCGCATCGGTTCTGTTACTCAGGAGGATATTACCAAATTCCGCTGACTTTCTCCTCGCATCGTTCCTAGCTAGACTGCCGCTATGCATGTAAATCTTGCCATTTGTATCGTTCTCTTGTCCGTCCCCATTGCAGCGGGGCGACGTGGCGCGTGGCTTGCACGTGCTGCGGGTGAATCAGATGGATGCGTTGCGATTGGACGACGAGATGCGGCTGATGCTTAAGGAGCAGCTCATGCGCGTCTTCGCTCTCGTGCCGGTACGTCACCTCCTCTTCGCTGCTCTTTCCACGCCTTCCCTCCTTTCCTCTGCCCCTCGTCCCTTCCCTCCCCCATCCACCCCCCCCCCCCACGCTTCCCCACCCCACCTCCCCAGCCCTCCCCCCCAGCCCTGTGTTTACTCTCTCGCTGTTTCTTCCAATGCATCTCTTCGTTCAGCCCCATATTTCAAATAAACCCCCTATTCCCCCCTCCTCCCCCCTCATCAACCCCCCCCACCTCTCTCCTCACACTCCCTGTGGCCCCTCGCCCTGGCCTGCTCCTTCCCCCTACACTTGTGGTGTGCTTACCCCTCCGCCCCACCCGTCCGCCCGTGCATGGCAGGCGGCGTGGGTGGCGCGGTGTGAGGCGGAGCTAGAGCTGCTGCTGGACGTGCTCGTGTGGCGCTTCTCCCTCTGGGCCGACCGCCCCCTGCCTGGCTGTGCGCTCATGAACCTCCTTCTCCTCAACGCGCCTCCCCCTTTCCCCGCACGCCCCGTGTCTCCAACGTCCCCTCGCTTCCCCCTGCGACTGCCCTCTTACCCCTCCCCCTTGACCCAATCCCCCCGGCCTGCCGCCTACCCCTCCGCCCTGCCCTTCCGCCCTTCCCCCTGCCCGTCCGCCCGTGCATGGCAGGCGGCGTGGGTGGCGCGGTGTGAGGCGGAGCTAGAGCTGCTGCTGGACGTGCTCGTGTGGCGCTTCTCCCTCTGGGCCGACCGCCCCCTGCCTGGCTGTGCGCTCATGAACCTCCGCTTTAGGGACGAGCGTGCGGCACGCGCGGGGGCGGGGGCGGCTGCACCGCCCGCTGTACCAGGTAGGGTGATCTGCCCTGCGTGGCTGGGATTGGGAATGGGGATGGCGGCTGGGAATGGGAATGGCGGCTGGGAATGGGAATGGTGGCTGGGAATGGGAATGGCGGCTGGAAATGGGAATGGCGGCTGGCCCTGTGTGGGCTTCTCGCCTTGCTTCAACGTGTTCCTTCTGCACATGCGCTTCCCCCTAATCCTTGCCCCCCGACGTTCTCCCATGCTTCCCACTCTCTCCCACTCTCCCCAGCTCTCCCCACTCCCCCCTCCCGCTCTCTTCACTCTCTTCCACTCAACCCCTCTCTCCCCCACCATCCCCCAATCCCTTCCTCTCCGCCCATCCTTCCACCTCCATCTCCCACCTGTCCCCCCTCATACCTCTCGCGCACCTCAACCAATCCCCTCCCCCCTGGCCGCCCACCTGGCAGTGCGGACAGGGGTGGAGGGGCCGGGGCTGACGGTGGGGCAGAAGGTGCTATGGCTGGTGCTCACAGGGGGAGTAAAGTACGTGTGGGCGCGCCTGCACTCCACGCGCTGGTTACTGCCCGTGCACGCACACATGCCGCACAACAACTATGCACGGCAGGGCACAGGGAGCGACGCGCTTCAACGGCAGCAGGTCTGATTCCTCTCCGCCCTGCCACCATTCGCTGTCCCACTGCTTGTCTGGCTCCATATGCTGTAGTTACTGACTGATTCCAGGTTTCCAAATCCCCTGATCCCTCTCTCCCCAATTCCCTCCTCTGGTCCTCCCTATGCTGCATGGTGTTGCATGGTGGTGCATGGTGGTGCATGGTGGTGCATGGTGGTGCCGTGCGTGCCCCATGTGTGTGCAGGCGTCATGGCGGCACTGGCTGTGGCGGCTGCTGCATCGGGCAGAGGGCGCAGTGAAGCTGGCGTCACTGCTCAACCTCATAGTCTTTCTTCATTCCGCCAAGTGACCCCCCTGCCTCTTTCTCCTCTTCCTCTCCCGCCTTCAATTCCGTCTGTTTCCCGGTTAGCACATCGCCCTTCTCTGCTTCCACTGTTCGCCTCTGCTTCTGCCTCTGCTTTGCATTCTCCCTCGCAGCTGCCTGCCATCCCACTACCATTGCCACTTGCCTGTCTGTTTGCCTTTTCGTCTCTCTCTCTCTCTGACTCTCCCTCCGTCCATCTGTGTGTGTCCTCAGATTCCGCACGCTACCGGAGAGGCTGCTGGGCATAAGGGCGGTGTACGCCAAGCCACACATGGCGCGCGCTGTCAGCTTTGAGTACATGAATCGCCAGCTCGTGTGGAATGAGTTCTCGGTCAGTCGATCCTCTATTCTCTCTTAGTTAGCTCGTGCATCTTCTTCGAGTGATTCTGTATGATCTCTGCCACTGATGATTCTCTGCTTTTTGTGCCGTCTGTTTCCACAGGAGCTGCTGCTGCTGGTGCTTCCCTTGATAAGCGTGTCGGCAATCAAGCAAACCTTCTCCTCCCTCTTCCGCCTCCCGTCTTCCGCATCCCCCACCGCTGGCGATGGGTGCCCTGTATGCTCTGCACAGCCCATCCTCATGCCATATCGTGCGCTACCGTGTGCACATGTGTTTTGCTATTACTGTATTCACACACGCATGTCTCTCCATCGCGCCTTTAGATGCCCAGGCTGCAACACCCGCGTGGATGGCATAGAGAAGATTGAATTGCAAGTATTGCAACATAGCCAGCAGGCCTCGGACGTTAGTGCTGGTTGATAAATATGTTGTGTTTTTGGGCGGAGATTCGACTTCAGCTTCTCTTGTATATATTGGATGAATTGCTGTGTCTCATAACATCTATCGTAGCACCACTGTTTTCCGAAAGTTCAAAGCTAAACCGAAACCATGTATCATGGGAAGACCAAAAATATCTCCGCAAAGTGCGATTGTGCCACGTCAGTTGCCCTCCCCCATCGCATGCTGCCTGCCGTCCCTTCAACCCGAGCCGCCATTTCCTCAACATCGCCTGCACAGTACACCTCCCTCTCAAGACCCTGTTCATCCCTGTGTTGGTAGGGTAGTTTCTCGGGTCAGCGCTCTCAATTTGCCAGTTTCTGTGACTCCCCCCTCTTTGGCCCTGCCTCCCCGCGGAACTAGCGCGCCCGCCGTCCAACCGACGCATTGCTGCGAGGATCCGCGCGACAAGCCCCCCCTTTCCCGCGTCAGCTTTCTTTAGATATTATAGCCCGCGTTGGCTTGGCATGGGGCACGCCGCGTCGCCCGCGATTCACGCTGGTACACCGTCGCGCGTTGCTGTGGGGATGGGCGGGCCGACACGGCTACAGCCCCCCCGTGATCTGCAGCTGCAGCGCGGATCGCGAGGTCTGCGCTCCGCGAGATATGCGGAGCTTGCCACGTCGTTCTTGCCACGTCAGCTCGCTACACCACTTAGGTGCGTGGATTCCGGCCCCAGCCCTCCGTGCATTTTCAACGCTTCAGCGAAATTCTTGCGTAACCCTGCACGTCATCCCACCATGCGTGCGCCGATGTTTCCGCGTGGTCCCCGCCAGGCGCCTCCCCGCCCCCCTAGGGCGCGCGCATTCTCCGCCTTCCGGTGAGCGTTCCGCCTCGCGCGCGTGCACACGCGCGGCATGGAGCGTCAGCAGGCAGGCGGACAGGCGGATGCGCGTCGCATGCCGTGCAGCAGAGAGCGGTGACGTGGCGCCTGCGGATTGGGTGAGCACGGCAGGGACGCACAAGCGACCCCAGCAGGTCTTCTACTCCAAAAAGGTGCGCCTCGGGCCTTATAATAGGGTTAAATCAGGACGTGGGTGGGGGGCGGGGGAGGAGGTGGGGTGGTGAGGGCGAGCAGTGAGGCGATGTGAAGAGAATGCACGGGATGAAGTGTGGCTTTTGAGCGGACTTAGAAGTTTCAAAAGATTCGAGAGGAGATGGGGAGTGCAATGTCGCCCTGTCCCCCTGTCTCCATGCGCATCGTACGCACATGGGTGCACTGGTGGGTGGCTGGCAATGGGCCAATCGTACCATGCATGCACTACGACGCGCCTTCCCTCTCGCCTTGATCACAACACAACACAACACAGCGTTGTGTTCTGCTGCCTCCTGCCATCCATAGCCTTGTTGAGCCGTGTGACAGTTGTGCATGCCGGCATGGCATGACATGGCGTGGGCATGGCACGGCGTGGTTTGGCGTGGCATGACGTGGCGTGGCGTGGGCATGACGTTGCTTGCAGGGCGAGAAGTTTCTGTTTCAAACGGGCGAGAGGATGGACCTACTGGAGTTACCCGAGGGTACAAGAGTGGTGTACCCTGGGCTGTGCAAGGACGGCGAGTCCAACCCCAACAAGGCCAGTGCCTCGCCTCGCTCGCACACACTGCACTCCCTCCCTCTCGTGCACACACACACGCACACACGCACACACGCACGCACGCACGCACACACACACACGCACGCACGCACGCACACACACACACGCACGCACGCACGCACACACACACACGCACGCACGCACGCACACACGCACGCACGCACGCACACACACACACGCACGCACGCACGCACACACGCACGCACGCACGCACACACACACACACACGCACGCACGCACGCACGCACACACACACACACACACACACACACACCCACAACACCCCCCCCCCCCCAACACACACACACACACACAACATGCATCGTTCTATGGTTCCGCGCAATCTGTTTCTGATCCATTTGTCCTGCTCACGCGCTCTGCCCTGCTGTCCCTCTATCCACCTGCCACGCCTCACATCCTTTCTAATCACTTCCACCCACATGCATGCCACCCTCCCAACCGCCTCTGCTCCGCCCCTCATCATCTCTTCGCCTTTCCTGGCCTTCCAACTCTTCCGCCCTCCTTCCCGCCCTTCTCTCTCCCGTTTTCCCCTTTCTTTATCCCCGTCACGCGTGCACACGTGCATGCATGGCGATGCATGTGTACTTACATGCACACAGATGCGAGCCATGATACGGCACGCTCTGGACAACCCTGTGGGGCAGCCGCCGCTAAAGGAAAGACTGCAGCAGATCAAGCAAGTCAATCCCAACCCCAAGGTGCGCTGCTGCTGCTGCTGCTGCTGCTGCTGCTGCTGCTGCTGCTGCTGCTGCTGCTGCTGCTGCTGCTGCTGCTGCTGCTGTTGCAACCCATTGTCTCAATTGCCTTCTTTTCCAGCTGCCTTTTCTGGTTGACGCGGCATCACCGTCATTCTGTCCACTCCCAATTGCATTCCCTAACCTCTCCATTGCCAATGCCTCCCTGCACTAGGCGCTCATGTCATGTCACCCATGCACAACACCCCCACATCCCCATCCCAACCATCCCCCACCTCCCCCACCGTCCCTCCCCTCATCCCTGACTCATCCTCCCCTCAACCTCCCCACACCCCCCGCCCTCACCCCCCTGTGCCCAACCAACCCCCTCTTCCGCCTCACCCGGGCCCAGATCCTAATGACGTTTGACGACGTGAGCGTGCCGCTGCCACCCGTGCGCAGCTTTTGAGGCGCCTCAAAAGCAGCCCGGACCTACGGCAGCTGATCTGGAGGAAGCGAATCCCCACACCTTCCCTCCCCTCTCTCCTGGGTTCATCCTCCCCACACCCCCGCCCCCGCCCCCTCACCCTCCCCCCTCACCCTCCCCCCTCACCCTCCCCCCTCACCCTCCCCCCTCACCCTCCCCCCTCACCCTCCCCCCTCACCCTCCCCCCTCACCCTCCCCCCTCACCCGGCTCAGATCCTGATGGCCTTTGACGATGTGAGCGTGCCGCTGCCTCCCATGCGCAGCCCGGACCTGCGCCAGCTGATCCTGGAAGAAGCAGAGAAGGACTGCATGGCCCTAGGAATCACGGACATCCGCTTTGTGTGCTCCATCGCTCTGCACCGCTACGTTCGCCCGGACGAGTTGAAGCACATCTGTGGGGGGTACCTGTATGGAAAGTACTACCCGCACCGCATGGGGAACTACAATGCTGTTGATATGGACGAGACTGTGGATATTGGAGTCACGCGCCATGGGGAGGCGGTTCAGGTGAGGGAGAGGGAGGAGGGGGTGGGGGTGGTGGAAGAGCATGGGGAACTACAATGCGGTTGACATGGACGAGACTGTGGATATTGGAGTGACACGCCATGGGGAGGCTGTTCAGGTGAAGGGGGGAGGGGGGGAAAGGATGGGGCGGGGATGGTGGGAGAGCATGGGGAACTAAAAGGCGGTGGATATGGATGGGGCTGTGGATAGCAGTGTGACGCGCCACGGGGAGGCTGTTCAGGTGAGGGAGTGGGGGGAGTGGGAGGGGTTGGTGTGCGGGAGGTGGGAGAACGGAGTGAAGGTGTCAAGGGTGGGTGGTTGAGGGCTTCGCAGCTTGCATTTCCATGGCGACAGCAGTTGATGCAGCGCTCTCGTCAGTACTTGTTATCCATCCACTGCTGTTGCCCGCTCTCTTCTCGTCGTTCCCACCCCTGTGCTGTGCTGTGGTGTGGCATGACATGGCATGGCATGGCATGGCATGGCATGGCGTGGCGTGGCATGGCATGGCATGGCATGGCGTGGCGTGGCATGGCATGGCGTGGCATGGCGTGGCATGGCAGATCAACCGGCACTTTGCGGAGGCGGATCTGGTGGTGTACGCGAATGTGAACTACGTGAGCATGGACGGCGGGTACAAGTCCTACGCCACTGGCCTGGTGAGTGAGCTATTGCTGCGCTCTCAGCTGCGCTTGCTGAGTTGCGCTGCAAGCTGGGCGGGTGAGAAGAGCTGCTGAGCTGGGTGCATGGAAAGACGGGGCGAGTGGGAGGTGGAGGGAGTGAGGGGATGGAGAGAGGGAGGGCGGTGACGGGTATGTTCGGAGTGTCCTGGGTTGGTTGGTTTGTGGGTGCGTATTGAAAGAGCCGCTTTTGTGCTCTGGCACGGTGCATTAAATTTGTGCTGTCACTTGTGTGTGTGTGGATATGTGGTTACCTGGTTTGCTTTGTGTGTGTGCGCGCGCACGCGTGCGCGTTTGCGTGGGTGTGCGTGTATGTGTGCATTCATATGTGCGTATTCGTATGCGAGCATGCATGCAGGTGCATTACAACTGTCTGCGCCACAACCATGACTCCAAGACTCTCCGTGACACCAAGTAAGCCTTCACCTGACCTGGGGGCCCCAACACCTGTGAACCGCACAACACACCTTAAACCTGAAAGATCACCATTACTGCTACAATTCAACCCTTAACGCCTCCCATGCCTTGTGGCTCTTGTCGCCCATTCCCTACCATGGGCAAGGCAAGAGCTTCCATGCTGCCGAGTCCTTACTGGTTCTGGTGCTGTGATTCCGGTGGTGTGTGTGCACGCACATGGGTGGGTGGCAGGTCGCTGTTTGACCCGTCGCGCAGCGCCCTGCACAGGTCGTTCCACCGCATCGGCCGCATGATGCAGAAGCACACCGACGTGTTCCATGTGGAGACTGTTATCGATGACCAGGTATGCGCCGACATGCCCCACATGCCCCACATGTTCGTCTGCCCGCATGCCCCCATCGGCCGCATGATGCAGAAGCACACCGACGTGTTCCATGTGGAGACTGTTATCGACGACCAGGTATGCGTGCACATGCCCCGCATACCCGCAGCGCACTGCACAAGTCGTTCCACGTTCCACCGCATCGGGCGCATGATGCAGAAACACACTGATGTGTTCCATGTAGAGACTGTTATAGACGACCAGGTCTGCCATCCCGTGCCGTATACCTGCACACCCGCATGCCCACTTGCTTCCATTCCCGTATGTCCCCTTGTCCACGTGCCCACGTGCCCCCATTGCCCCATACACACGTGCACGCATGCCCGCATCAGCACCTGGGTGACGATGCCCACCTGCCAGTCCACCTCCCTGCACCATCCTCCAGGTTCCCTGCACCCCCCTCTCCTGCGTCGCCGCCTGCCCTTGCGCATCTGCTCTCCATCCTACCCCAACCACGCCACTGCGTCGCATGTCTCCTCCCACCCTCTTGTGCCACCACCACTACTACAGCAACCACCCCGCATTCCCACCCTGCACCTTCCTCACTGCCCTCCCCCCCCCCTGTGCAGCTGTTCCCATTTTACACGGATTTTGTGTCAGAGCTAGTGTGCAAAATATCATGCATCATGCCACACAAAGTACCTCAAGTCACCCCACTTTCACCCTCCCTCTTGCCCCTCGCCCCGTGCAGCTGTTCCCGTTCTACACGGATTTTGTCTCAGAGTTAGTGCGCAACATGAACCCGCTACAGAAGCTTTTCATGCACTCCACCGTTCTGCTGCTCAAGGTGGGTCCAGTACAGAATGGTGCTAGTGAGCAACTTGAGTCCAGAATGGTTCCCATTCTACACGGATTTTGTCTTGGAGCAAGAGCGCAACGTGAACCCGCTACAGAAGCTCTTCATGCACTCCACCGTTCTGAAGCTCAAGGTGAGGAGTAGTGAGGGGAGTCGCCACCGGCACCAGCGGTGCCGCCACCACCGCCGCCGCCGCCCCTCTGTTCCTGTTCTACGCGGACTGTGTGTCAGAGCTAGTGCGCTGTGCAACGTGAGTCCGCTGTCAGTGCTTGCCCGCTGCACAAGCGCTTCATGCATGCACTCCATGGTGCTGCTGGTGAAGGTGGGGCCAAGGGGGGGAGCGAGCATGTGTGACCAGGGGCGAGCATGTGTGACCAGGGGCGAGCATGTAGACACGTGTAGATGCAGTGCAGGCGAGCAAGGTACGAAAGGTGAGCAAGTTGAGGAGGAAGGTTAGCAAGTGGTGAGGCTTGAGCAAGCAGGGAGCAAGCAGAGAGCCACCACACTTCTCTTTAGCCTGAATTTGCTTGTCTCGTTCCGCTTGTGCTTTTTTCGTCACCCCCTCCTTCCCTCGCCCCTAAGCCGTCCCTTTCTCTCCCTCCCTCGGCGCGCTTCAGATGCTGCCGCTGTGGCTGTGCGTCAAGATCTTCTGGTTCATGCGAGCCCCATTCGGCCTGAAGCAGGTACGGCAGGGCAGGGAGGGGAGGGGGGAGGGAGGGGAAAAGGGGAGGGGGAGGGGGACGGGGGAGGGAGGGGGTTAGGGGTTTAGGGTAACCACACTCCACCTTGTCACTTGGCATTCCAGTGTGTAAAAGTGCAAAACGCCGAGTCATTTGCTGGCGAGCAGCAGTGCTGGCGTTGAAGCTATCTTGCTGTTTTGCGTCTGAACGCTGATTCGTGCGGCGCGGTGCAGGTGACAGCAGGGGAGACCCAGGCAGTGCATGAGAGGACCCTCGCAGCCATCTACCGGGACAAAATCATGGACGTGGAAGGCCAGGTGAGTTGAGAGCACAGCAGAGCAGAGCAGAGCAGAGCAGGGAATGCCAAGAGATGGAAGCATGGGAGAGGTGGCTTGTGTTGACTTTTGAGTCGACTCAAAAGTCGACAGCAGGAGAAAACCAGGCGGTGCATGAGAGGACCCTCGCAGCCATCTACCGAGACAAGGTCATGGACGTGCAAGGCCAGGTGAGAGCACAGCAGGGGACGAATGCTACGGAATGCAATGCGCTTCTCCTCTCCTCTCCTGTGAATCTGCTTTCTCTGAGACGAGTGCGTTCTTGGAGAAGGGATAGGTAGGCGATAGGCAGGACTCAAGCCTCAAGGCGCTTCTGATGGTGCTTCTGAGGGGTTCCTTCCCCTTCCCTTTCTGTTTTCCCTTCCTCTTCCTCTCTCCTCCTCCTCCGTGGCTTTACCCTGTCACCTTGGCACCACCACAGCCCCGTAATTCCACCCATCGCATGCATCCCATCCCATCCCTTCCCATCTCCCACAACCCCTCCCTGTGCTGCACTCCCCCAGGCGGACATTCTCATTATGGGGCCTAGTGCGTTGGGGCCCTACACCAAAGACATGTTCCTCAACCCCCTGCTTGTGAGTATACATACCCTTGCTTCACCGCTCCTCACCGCGTCGCACCGCAACGCACTTTCTCTCCTCCACTCAAACGCCCCGTGCTGCTCGGATATGCTCTTTTCTGTGCTGCTAACCCTCGTTGGAAGCTTGATCAAGGAACTGTGGGTGCATGGGCAACTGCACAGGCACATGCCCTTGTGTGTTCACGCAATTCATCAACCCCTTGTTTTCCCTGCCATGTCTTGCTATGCGATGCCTGTGCATGCCATGTGCTGCAACTGCAACCATCATCCGTCCCCATCCATGCTCTTCTCACTCGTTCCGCACTCTAACCGCCCCGCATGTGCCCCATGGTTGTGCGAACACATGCAGGTGAACACCTACGCAATGGGATACTATTACAACATGTGAGTCGCATCGCACCATTGCTCACACTCATACCTCACGGGAGTACATGCTGTGCCCCCAATGCCTGCGCATGGGTATGTTGTTTCATGCCATTGCATGCCAACTCAAGGCTGCCTGTTGTACAAATATTCCCTCCACTTCTTTTCCACCTTCTTCCTCCACTCAGGCTGGCTCCCTTCTGCCCCGTGCAAACTCCCCCAATCTCCCACCCCTCCTTCTCCCCCTCCTCCTCCCCCTCCTGCTCCCCCTCCTCCCTGCCGCAGGTATGTGGACGGCGTGCCTCTAGTCAAGGAGGGCGGCTGTGTGGTGAGAGATCGTGCCATGAAAGGACATGCCATCTGACGCTATGCCATGCCACGATGCCATGCCACACGATGCGTGCCATACCATGTGATGCCGTGCCATGCCATGCGTATTCAATTCAATAAGCGCACACACATCACTCAAAGTGTGCCTGTCTTCAATTCACCACACCTGCCTGCAACACCTCTCCTCTCCACACACCCTCCCTCTCCCTCCATCCATCCCGCCCCACCGCAACCCACCCCGCCCCACTCCACCCCACCACTTCCCACCAGATAATGGTGAACGAGATGAACTACGAGTGGTCCTCGCCCGCGCACGACGGGTACCGCAAGCTCTTTGAAGAAGTGCTGGCAGTGGCGCCAGGGCTGGACGAGTTTGAGCGGTACCAGCAGCAGTTTGTGGACGACGAGCGGCTCAACGACATCTACCGCCAGGGATTGGGTCCCGCTGCCGTGCACGGGTTCTACATGTACACGTGGGCTGCTCATGGCATGGACAAGGTGTGTGGGGTGTGGGGGGTGTGAGGGGAAGGATATGGGGTATTGGGCGTATGGCTTATAACATGCACGAGCGGCTGAACGACATCTACCGCCAGGGGCTGGGTCCTGCTGCCGTGCACGGGTTCTACATGTACACGTGGGCCGCTCATGGCATGGACAAGGCGTGTGTGGTGTGGGGGATGGGGTTGGAGGTTATGGGGTATTGGGCGTATGGGTCTCGTGCACGGGGTCTACATGTACACGTGGGCCGCGCATGGCATGGACAAGGTGTGTGCTGTGGGGGGTATCGGGCGCGGTGCGGGGTACGTGGCACGGGCGTATGGTGCGTAGCATGCGCTGATTTTGTGGCATATGGCTCTTGTGCGTGGGGTCTACATGTACATGTGGGCCGCTCCTGGCATGGATAAGGTGCGTGCTGTGGGGTGCGGGGGTCGAGGTTACGGGGTATTGGGCGTACCGCGTATAACATACCCGGGTTCTGTGGCGTATGGCTCTCGTGCTCGGGTTCTACGGGTGCGGGCCTTTTCTGCCCCCCCTCTCTCACCCTGCCCTCTCCCATTCCCCGGTGCCCTTTCCTCCCCGCTCGGCAGGTGGGCAAGGTGTATGTAGTGGGAGCTGTGGACCTGCGGGGCCGAAGGTGCTGCGGTGGGAGATGGCCCGATTTTTAAGTCGACTAAAAAATCGACTCACCCTGCCCTCCCCCGTTCCCCGGTGCCCTTTCCTCCCCGCCCGACAGGTGGGCAAGGTGTATGTAGTGGGAGCTGTGGACCCGCGGGGCCCTGAGGTGCTGCGATGGGAGATGGCGGACAGCATTCAAGATGCTGTGGACCAGGTGATAGCACGTGCCATGCCCATGCCCACGCCCACGCCCACGCCCATGCCCATGCCCACGCCCATGCTCATGCACTTGCTCACTACCCATTCCCATGGCCATACCCAGGAGCATATCCATGCCAATATCCATGCCCATACCTATGCCCTTGTTCGCCTCACATGGACCACACTGCCCCATCCATGCCATGCGCATCATGGCCTTAACATCCCTCTTCTTTCCTCCCTCCCTCCCCGATTCCACTTTTCCCCCTCCGTTCTCGGCCTCCCTTGTATCATTTACCCCAGGCGCGGTTATTCCTGGGCAACAGCAAAGCAACGGTGACATATCTGAGGTGCCCTCCGGTGGGGTATGTGCGCGTGCACACGGAGGGGCAGGAGGGGGGCAGTGCTGGCCAGCAGGTGCAAGAAGAGGCACCGCAGGCAGTGGGCACGCACCAGTGATGGTGATGGTGCTGTGCGGAACCAACTTCACGCTGTTCTGTCACACTGTCACACCATCAGCTTTCCTGCTAGAGACTCAGCTGGTGCAGTGCTGTGCGATTTCCATGCTACCCGCGTGGAGCATTTCGCAAAGTGCATCTGCGGTGCTGTTGTGCTGTTGTGGCTGGTGACATGAGGCAGGGCTGCGATAGGCCATGACTACTGCGTTCATGCAGTGTGGAGGGTACTACCGTAGAATGTGGAGGGCAATGGAAGATGACGAGTTGGACAGCAATAGCATGAGCACTGGTACCTATTCACATGACATGACATTCACTACCAACCCAAACATTACATTATACGTTACCAAACGGGGTCAGTCCGGTCGGCACCTCCCCACTTCACCCCTTCCCAACAAACAGGTTAGGGCACATTAAGGATCAACATGCCAGTAATAGTGATACAATACAACACATCTCAACCATTGCACATAAACAGGATTGGCCTTAGCATTTAAAACTCAAGGCCCAAATTGCGAGGCGTGCAGAGCAAGATTATTATTCTTGCACACTACTCGTTTTTTGTGCTCTCTCTTTGCGTGAAGCGATCTGATTGGTTACGGAAGGCTGAGAGAGAGCCTTTGTTGCAAAGTTTAGGATCAATTCCTGTTATTCAATCCTCAGATTTACAGATGTACAACCCTGCAGTATTTACGATTAAGATCTATCTACCTCTACTTACTACCTAGCAAATCAATCAACTCCAATGTGACAGTTCACATAAGAACCTGGGAAAATATAAATGGTTTTTCCAAGGAGTACACATCAGAGATTGGTGTACTGAATGATGATTATTGCACTGCTGGTGTCAGGAATGCTGGGCCCATTTGGCGGAGCCTTCCCCGCAAACCCCACATTGCGCTACCCAAAGTCTAGCCGTTGGAGGAAGTGTCTGAACTTTTACGAACTCGCGCCCCACTCTCCGGAAAGTCGGCGCGAATCCGCCTTTGTGTCAGACTTTCGGGGGTTGCGCTTCCGCAAACTTGCGGTTGATGACCCTCTTTCCGCTTGGCGAATTTTGCTTGGGGGCCAGAGTCACGAAGGTAGCCAACATCGTCAGCTCGTTTGTAACAACCATTTGCCACGATTTTTCACCCACGAGCGAGTTCAGCTTTCGCCAACAGATTTCGCTCATCGAATTTCCACCGCATTGGTCCCGCCATTGCCGTGTGCCCGAAAGCAATTCGGAAATCTCGAGGTTGGTCGGGAAGGCAGGCAGCACTTGGCATGGCACATTCCCTCCCCACCACACCACAAACTCGCCTCGTTTCTTCCCCAACGTGCTGCTTCTCACGCCCACCTCGCTCAACATTCGTCTTTCATTCTGCTCCTCACCTCTAGTTGCTCACCGCCAGATGCTCAGCGCTAGTTCCCACGAAACGCTTACGCTGCTGTTATTCTTTCGCTGTCGACCAATTTGTTTCTTGGGACGAGAAAACGCGGAGCTAGGAGAAGAGGTGTTGGCGAAGCGTCAGCAGGCGGATTCTACGTCGCCTCGTGCTGTTTTAGACCGTCGATTTCGTCACATCCTCCGTGGAAAGTCGTTGATCGGGCGATGCGAGAAAAATTTTCGGGCGTGGAATGTTGGTGCGAGTAGAGTCGAAGACGAGGGCGACGACGAGGTACGATGGGGTCCGCGCCGTTGTGCTCTTGACCGTCGCTCCCTGCTCCTTCCCGCGCGCTTATCGTGCCTCCGTTCGTACCCGCGCTTTTGATGCACCGATTTCAGCTCGCGCTTCTCAAGCTCGTAGATGCTATTTCGCGTTTCTCCCCCCTGCAGGAGAGCGTTTGGCAGAATGGACGGCGGAATCGACGGCCGTTTGCGAGATCCGCGCGTCATCGCACGGCGGAACCGTCGTCCGCGCGTCGTCGCACGGCGAAATCGTCGTCCGCACGTCGTCGCACGGCGAAATCGTCGTCGTCTTCCGCGCGTCGTCGCACGGCTAAATCGTCGTCCGCGCGTCGTCGCACGGCGAAATCGTTATCCGCTCGTCGTCGCACGGCGAAATCGTCGTCGTCCGCGCGTGATCGCACGGCGAGATCGTCGTCCGCGCGTCGTCGCACGGCGAAACCGTCATCCGCAATTCGTTTCATGGCGAAATGGTCGCACGGTTGTGCCTCCGTTGTGGGGGTGGGCATCAGCTGCGACAGCAGCAGCATCAGCGCTCGGTGCTTCTTCAACCGCCAGCTAAGTGCCTTCTCCTCCCTCCACTCCCCCTCGCTTGCTGCTCACCGTTGCTGCTCACCATTGCTTCTCACCGTTTCTCCCTGAAATTTTCACCACTGGTTGGGGTCCGCCTCACAAGCAACAGACCCCCACCCCCAATTGCAGGTAAACCCATCAGGTACAGGTTCAGCCCCCCTAAAGCCTTACAGCCCCCTCAGGTTCCCATGGGGGTCTGTGGCTTGTGAATGTGCTCCTCCAGTGGCCCCTCCCTTGTCTCGCCTTTTGTTCCTGCCGTCTCGCACGCTGCACTCTCCATTCCCCATCCCACTCTCGCTCCCACCTCCCCCGCTGCCTTCACCTCGTTCCTCACGTCCCTCCCCTCCATGCCCTCCCCGCCCTCCCATCCCTTCCTTGGCAGGCGAGCGCAAGGCAAGGGAAGGGCAGCAGGCGAGGGGAGCACCAAGGCGGGCAGCAGGAGCGCGGGCAGCGGGGCAGCAGCGCCGGCCTCATCAACGGTCGAGGTTGCAGTATCGCCCCGCCATCACACTCCACATGAGCCCACTCCCCCTCAGGTTCAGGTTCAGGTGCAGGTTCAGGTTCAGGTTGGTAGCGGCTCTTGTGGGGTTGTGGTTGGCGTCACATGCACTGTCGTTTCTGCTGTTGCACGTGTGTTTGACACTTTTCTCCATTGCAACCCCTCTTACTTTCGGCTGCCTTTCCTTTCCGCCCTGCCCTCCCTCCCCTCCCTTCCCTGCCAGGCCTTCACAAGCCAGGGGGACGGCAGCAGGCGAGCAGCAGGCGAGGGGAGCACCAGGGCGGGCAGCAGGAGCGCGGGCAGCGGGGCAGCAGCGCCGGCCTCATCAACGGTTGAGGTTGCAGTATCGCCCCTGCCACCACACTCCACTTGAGCCCACTCCCCCTCAGGTTCAGGTTCAGGTTCAGGTGCAGGTTGGTAGCGGCTCTTGTGGGGTTGTGGTTGGCGTCACATGCACTGTCGTTTCTGCTGTTGCACGTGTGTTTGACACTTTTCTCCATTGCAACCCCTCTTACTTTCGGCTGCCTTTCCTTTCCGCCCTGCCCTCCCTCCCCTCCCTTCCCTGCCAGGCCTTCACAAGCCAGGGGGACGGCAACAGGCGGGCAGCAGGCGTGGGGAGCACCAGGGCGGGCAGCAGGAGCGCGGGCAGCGGGGCAGCAGCGCCGGCCTCATCAACGGTTGAGGTTGCAGTATCGCCCCTGCCACCACACTCCACTTGAGCCCACTCCCCCTCAGGTTCAGGTTCAGGTGCAGGTTCAGGTGCAGGTTCAGGTTGGTAGCGGCTCTTGTGGGGTTGCGGCTGGCGTCACATGCACCACCATTTTGCACTCGCACTGCTGCCAGAGTCTTCTCGTTTAAAAGAGTCACTCCCTCCCACCTGCCTCTTACTATCTCTCTATCTCTCTCCTTCTCCTCTGCCTCGCAGGTCCGTCCCTTCAAGCCCCGCTCGCCCTGCCCACTCTCCATTGAAGCACCCATCCCTTCCGCCTGCACCACACAATCAGCTAAGTACCCTTCCCCCCATGCCTGCATCCTTGCCTGCAGCATCGTTTTGTTTGTTTCATCTGCTTTGCACCGTCTTCTTGAAACTTTGCCACTGGTCGAGCGCGGTTCACATGCTACAGACCCCCACTCTTCAGATAACCCTCTCAGGTGCAGGTAACCCTCTCAGGTGCAGGTACACCCCTCAGGTTTTTTTTTCAGGTGCCCTTGGGTCTGCAGCTTGTGGCCGTGCCTCCACCAGTGGCTCCTCCTCCCTTCCCATGCACTGGATTTCAAGTCACAGTTTCCCATTCAACTTGCTCCCACCACCGCGCTCTGACTAGCTCTGTGTGTGCGCATTGCAGGTGGCGGGGAGGGGTGTGGGGTCAACACCGACGCTCCCTCACGCCCCTCCCCTGTGGCCGTGCAGGGAGGAGGCACCTGGAGGAGGGCTGCTGCGGAGGGAGGCAGCTGGTGGTGCTGCAGCTGCCTTGACCTCGCCCTCACGCTATCAGCTAAGTCACCCACTTCCATGCCCTCACCCTTGCCCGCCACATCATGGCTTGTTGTTTCCTTGCTGCCAGTTCGTTTGCCGGTTGTGCTTTCGCCCTTCCCTTTGAAACAATGCCACTGGTTGAGCTCGGTTTACATGCCTCAGACCCCCTCTCTTCAGGTATCTCCTCAGGTGCAGGTAACCCTCTCAGGTGCAGGTAACCCTCTCAGGTGCAGGTCCCCCCTTCAGGTGCAGGTTCCCTTGGCGTCTGTGGCGTGTGGCCTTGCCTCAACCAGTGGCCCTCCCTTTCTCTTCCACATTTGGCAGTTTCCGGTCTCTGGCTTGTGTTGTGCCCATGCCATGCATACTGACCACCGCCGTGTGTGTGCGTTGCAGGTGGAGGGGAGGGGCGCTGGGGTCAACACCGACGCTTCCCCACGCCCCTCCCCTGTGGCCGTGCAGGGACTCGTGGGGACGGGAGGGAGGCAGCACTGCAGCATGGCAATCCCACTGCAGCAAGGGAGAGTATCGGGATGGGCTTGGCCTCTCAAGGTAAGCCTCGTACCTCTCTTTGCCACTGCACTGGTTTTCTGCTGACTTTCCCTTGCACTCATCCCTTCTATTCGCCCTTGCCTGTTTCAAGGCCTGCACTCACTTCCCTCCTGGCCTCAACTTCCGTTCTGCACCCCTCCCAGGTCACTCGCAATGCAGCAGAGACAGCTGACGGGACCAGTTGTAGCAGCATCAGCAGTGGGGAGCACTGGTGCAGCAGGGGAGGGGAGGGGAGGGAAGGGGACACGAGGCAGCATCTCTCGGCGCATCTTCAGCTGCCAGCTAAGTGCTTTCGCCTCCCTGGACTCACTCTTGCCTGCTGCTCACTGCTCATACTGAATCACTCTTGTCGTTTTCACACTGTTGCTTTCTTTTTGCCAGTTCCTTTGCCGGTTGTGCTTTCGCCCGTCCCTTTGAAACACTGCCACTGGTTGAGCACGATTTGCATGCCTCAGACCCTCTCACTTCAGGTAACCTCTTAGGTGCAGTTCAGGTAACCCCTTCAGGTGCAGGTACACCCCTCAGGTTTTTTTTCAGGTGCCCTTGGGTCTGCAGCTTGTGGCCGTGCCTCCACCAGTGGCTCCTCCTCCCTTCCCTTGCGCTGGATTTCAAGTCACAGTCTCCCATTCAACTTGCTCCCACCACCGCGCTCTGACTAGCTCTGTGTGTGCGCATTGCAGGTGGCGGGGAGGGGTGTGGGGTCAACACCGACGCTCCCTCACGCCCCTCCCCTGTGGCCGTGCAGGTGGCAGTGGTGGGAGGGGAGGGGGGCAGCACTCCACTCGGCTGGGATGGGATGGGAGAGTTTTAGGATGGGTCGTCTGAATCAAGGTGAGCCTCTTTTACCTCCCTGCCTCAGATGCTTGAATGTCTGTTCTTTCTTTCTGTTACGCCGTTGCTTGCTCTTCTCCCCACCATGCTCACTGCTGTCCCTTGCTCCCTGCCTCCCTCCCCTCCCCTCCCCCCCCTCCGTCAACTTACTCATACAGAAGTGGCAGAGGCGGGGACATGGAGTGCACAGGCAGCAGCTGCTCTCCACCCAACCCACCCACAGCTAAGTTCCTTCCTGCCCTTCCTCTCTACTCCCGTTCTCTCTTGTGTTCTTTGCTGCATCTCCTGTTTCTTCTCGCTTCAAACGCAAGCCTCTGGTCCAGCCAAAGCTTCAAGCCACAGACCCGTTTTTTCTAAGGTAGACCCCCCCTGTTACAGCAGGTATACTCTCAGGTTAAGCCTTCCTAGGTATATTTCCCCCTTGGGTCTGTGGCTTGTAACTGAGGTTGCACCAGTGGCCCCTTTTCCTCTGCTTCTTCTGATCGCCTCCTTCACCCCCTCGCCTCTCCTCCAGTCACTCACTATTTCTCTGTGGGCCATTGCAGGTGGAGGGGAGGGGCGTAGAGGTCAACACCGCCACTCCCTCAGGTCTCTCCCCTGTGGCCGTGCAGGTGGCAGTGGTGGGAGGGGAGGAGGGGAGAACTCCACTCGGCTGGGATGGGATGGGAGAGTATCGGGATGGGTCGTCTGGAACAAGGTGAGCCTCTTTTCCATTCCCTGCTACAGATGCCTCATTTCCCTCTCTTCAATTCTGCATTCTCGTTTTTGTCCACTCTAGTGTTCTTCGGTTTACTTTATTGTTTCCTTGATGCCAACTTACCCGCTCCTCACCTGTCCCTCCCCAATTCCCCTCTCCCCCCCCCCCACTTTCTGCCCGCTACCAGATCACTTGGCAACAAGAGAAGATTGCAGAAGAGGAAGCAGAGTAGCAGACCGGCAGCAGCAGTTGCAGCAGCAGAAGCAGCGGCGGCAGCAGCAGTAGCAGCGGTGGGGATGCGGGGTTAGGGAGCAAGCTAGGCTAGCTGAAGCTGTGGGGAGGTGTGGTATCAGGTATGGTACGGTAACAGGTGAGGTACGGTATCAGGTGAGGTATGGTAGTCTGATTCTCTCCTCTCTCTCTTCCCCCTCCCCCCCTTGTCTTTTTGCAGCCTGAGAGTGGGAGCACTGGAGCAAGAACAGGAGAGTGAAGTCCACCCTCTCACTCACCTCCTCCTCTCTCCCTTTTCCCTTCCCTCCCAGCAGCACCCTGCCTGGACCACAGTGGAGTCCCCTCTTTCCGTTCATCCCCGCCTCCCCTCCCCCATCCCTTTCCCAGCAGCCCAAGGCATCATGGCGCTCTGCATGGCTCTGGTAGGTAGAGGTAGGTAGAGGTAAGGAGGCGAAGTGTGGGGTGGGTGGGTTGGTTGGTGGGTGGGTGGGTGGGTGGGGGGGAGCATGGGAGCATGCAGTCAGGTCACTGTCTTAGGGGCAGAATTCTCAGGGGATGTGCCTTGTGGTGGTGGGGTGTGGAGGATGGAATCTCCGCGGCACGGCACTCGGTGCTCAGGTTCCCAATCTGGCGTTTAAGGCTTAATGGACACCGTCAGAGCCGACCGGCCGGCGGCTCTGGTTCGCGTCAGCTCTAGCTACGTCAGGGGCGGGATTTGACTCTTGGGCTGGAAGCGATTTTTCACTGCCACACCTCGCCCCACAAGGCACTGCCTCTGGGGGTGCTGTTTCCTTAAGAGAGTGGGCTTTCTGCTGCTCCTACTGCTGGTAGGTGAGTGTGGGGATGGGCTGGGTTGGTGAGTGAGAGAGAAGGGGCCTGAAACCCCTTGAGCTGGTGGGTGAGAGAGAAGGGGCCTGAAACCCCTTTGGCCGGTGGGTGAGAGCGAAGGGGCCTGAAACCCCTTTGGCGGGTGAGTGAGAGAGAAGGGGCCTGAATCCCTTTGGCGGGTGAGTGAGAGAGAAGGGGCCTGAAACCCCTTTGGCGGGTGGGTGAGAGAGAAGGGGCCTGAATCCCTTTTGGCGGGTGGGTGAGAGAGAAGGGGCCTGAATCCCCTTGAGCGGGTGGGTGATGGGGAAGGGGACTGAATCCCCTTGGGTGGGATGGGTGAGAAGGAAGGGGTGAATCCCCTTGGGTGGGATGGGTGAGAAGGAAGGGGTGAATCCCCTTGGGTGGGAGGGTGTGGTATGTGGGTGGGCGAGTGGGTGGGGTGTTGATGGTGGTTGGGTGCTGAAAGTGGGTATGTTGTGTGTTGTGTATTGTGTGTGCTGAATGTGATGTGTGTTGTGAATGTGTTGTGTGTTGTGAATGTGTTGTGTGCTCTGGATGTCTTTCTTTTTCACCTTCCTTACCCCACTAGTGCTCCCTCCCTCCCACCTGTGCAAACTCCCCCAACCTCCTACCCTTCCTTCTCCCCCTCCTCCCTGCCCCAGGTATTTGGACGGCGTGCCTCTACTCAAGGAGGGCGGCTGTGTGGTGAGAGATCGTGCCATGAAATGACATGCCATCCTACGCTATTTCATGGCATGATGTCATGCCACACCATGCGTCATGCCGTACCATACCATGCGATGCCATGCTGTGCCATGTGTGTTCGATTGAATGAGCGCACACACAGCATTCTCAGGTTTTTCCCATGCTCACTTCACCACACCCGCCTGCGACACCTCTCCTCTCCACACCCTCGCTCTCCCTGCATTCATCCACCCCATCCCACCCCACCCGACCACGTGCCCCCTCCTTCTCCCCTCCTCCCCCCTTCAGGTATGTGGACGGTGAGCCTCTACTCAAGGAGTGCGGCTGTGTGGTGAGAGATCGTGCGATGAAATCACATGCCATGGCATGGATAAGGTGTGTGCGCTGTGGGGTGTGAGGCGTGTGGGTGTGGAGCATGGGCATGTGGCTTGTAACATGCGCTGCTTTTGTGGCGTATGGGTCTCGTGCATGGGTCTTACATGTGCATGTGGGCCGCGCTTGGCATGGATAAGGTGTGCACGCTGTGGGGCGTGGGGCATGAGGTCTGTGGACCAGATGATGCCACGCCCATGCCCATGCCCATGCTCATGCACATGCTCACTCCCATACCCATTCCCATGCCCACACCCAGGAGCATACCCATGCCAATATCCATGCCCACTCGCCGCCTCACATGGGACCACACTGCCCCATCTATGCCATGCACATCATGGCCTTAACGTCCCTTCCTCCCTCCCTCCCTCCTTCCCTCGATTCCACCCTTCCCTCTGTTCTCACCCTCCCAGGCGCGGTTGTTCCTGGGCAACAGCAAAGCGACGGCGACATATCTGAGGTGCCCAACCATGGGGTATGTGCGCGTGGACACGGAGGGGCAGGGGGGTGGGGAGAGTGCTGCCGAGCAGATGCAAGGGGAGGCAGCGCAGGCTGTGGGAAAGCAGCAGTGATGCTGCTGTGTGGAATCAGCCTTCTCAGCCCCACACAGTGAACCATCGCCTTTTCTGCACGAGACCCAGCTGCTGCACACTCGCAGTCTGCGGTGCTGTGCAGTGTGGTGGGGTACCGTGATTACTTTGTCCAGAGCACTTCACAAAAGTAGCTGTGCGCAGTGCTGGTGTGGGCTGTGAAGGCCGGAGGATGGTGAGCATAGGGGCTGTAATATGGTATGACTACTATGGTCCTGCAGTATGAAGAGTGCTCTGAAAAAGGGCCATGAGGGAACGTGTTATGTGCAGGATATGTGCTGTTTATCAAAGCTGATGAGCAGGATTAGCATGAGCATTGAGCACACTGGTTGCCAAGCAGGCGGTTAGTGGTAGTGAGCACCTGTCTGGCAGTGCACATTCCGGGATTGCAAATTGAGTGGACACAATAATCAAGCTGTTTTTCACCCATCAAGGGGCACTTGCAGTGTCAAACCTACCAACTCTGGTGCAGTATACATCAATAAACTAATATTAAATCCACACAACCAGAAATAAGACTCCACTGATCACTCATACCACAACATGTCACACACCTTTTCCACTGCTTTAAACAAGGAAAATGAATGACAATATACATAGCCAGTCTCAGCTATATACAATAAAGGGAACAGGAAATGGAAGAAAAGACGCTGCAAACGTCGGAGACAGCGTGTATGCAGGCACAGAAGCAGTTGCCCCAGCAAATGTACAGAACTGTGATACACTGCGCACTTCCCCCGCCACCTCCAAGGAGTGCCGTACTACAGCAAATCGTGCCATCATCACAATCACGTCCCAAGTCACTCGGTCTCGCGGAAGAGCTCGCGGCCAATGAGCATGCGGCGGATCTCACTGGTGCCGGCACCGATCTCATAGAGCTTGGCGTCGCGCAGTAAGCGCCCTGTGGGGTACTCGTTCACGTACCCGTTGCCTCCCAGACACTGGATGGCCTGTCGTTTGGGCGAGAGGGGAATCAGGGAGATATGCGTTGAAGTGGTGTATAGGTGGGGGAGGTGGGAAGAGGATGGTTTGTGAGGTGAGAGTGTGGAGATAGGGAAGAGTGAGGGGAGAGAAGAGGTGGTGTGGAGGAAGGTGGTGGACGCTGGGGGGTTGACGAGGAGAGTGTGTGGCGCACAGGGAAGGTGGGAGAAGAGGGAGTAGAAAGAAAGTGTGTGTGTGGAGGCGAAGGGAGGAGAAGCGATACCTGCAAGGCGACCTGAGTGGCGTTCTCTGCAGCAAAGAGAATGGCTGCCGCACAATCCTGCAGGGGTAGAGGAGTGGGAAGGGAGGTGAGGGTGGGGAGGAGTGAGCAAGCTAAAGGAAGGGGTGGGTGGGATTGCAGAGCATCGCACCCCCAGCACTGTTCAAGCAAACAAGGGAGATGACACACCAGAGCAAAGGCTATGTAGAGGCACAAGGCAGAGAGGCGCACCTTACGATTGACATGGCCGCGGTCACACGCCATGGCAGCACTGTACACCAGCGCCCTGTAGCACCAGCACACGCGTGGGAGGGCATGTGGGAGGGCACGTGGAAGGGGAGAGCAGGGCAGAGGCGGAGCACAGGGAAGGCCACCGCGGTTGAGTATTAGTCAGATCAAGGAAATTTTATTGGTGGAGTGGAGCTGTGAACGCTGTGGTCTGGCTGGGTCAGGGCTTGACCCAAAGAAAGAGAGAGAGAGCATGATTTGAGAAGAGGCGATAACTGGGGTGGCAGGAAGGAAGCAAGTGCAAGGGCAGTGGGCAGAGAGAGCAGAGAGGGTACGGAGCAACTGACCTTGAGGCCTGCACAGCACAATACATGTCTGCGAGTTTGCCCTGCGATGAGAGGGTTGATTAGAGGGTTGATGGGAGGGTTGATGAGAGGGGTGATGGGAGGGGCCAGAGGGGGATGAGGCACATGGGGTGTTGGGGGGTTGCAGCTGTGAGTGGAGGCACGTGGGATGGCAACAAGGCCAGTGAATGCAATTTCATGGTGGGAATTTGAGAGTTATGGGGGGCCGTGCAGCATGGCAGCACCACCATGGCAGGCAGGCACCAGTGGGTGGCCAGAGCGTGAGATCACAATGCACGGCAGCACGGCGACACACCACAGCACGGGGGCACCTGGATGAGTTGGAACTGGCCGATGGGTTGTCCGAACTGCTGGCGCTCGTGCACGTAGGGCAGCACCACGTCCATGGCCGCTGCCATGAGGCCCAGCGGCCCCGCTGCCAGCACCACGCGCTCCAGGTCCAACCCTGACATCAGCACGTGCACTCCTGGTGGGGATGGGGTGGGGAAGAGGGGGGAAGTGGGAGGGGGAGGCGAGAAGGAATGTGAAAGGTTGGGAGGATAGGGAGAAGGAATGTGAAAGGTTGGGAGGATAGGGAGAAGGAATGTGAAAGGTTGGGAGGATAGGGAGAAGGAATGTGAAAGGTTGGGAGGATAGGGAGAAGGAATGTGAAAGGTTGGGAGGATAGGGAGAAGGAATGTGAAAGGTTGGGAGGATAGGGAGAAGGAATGTGAAAGGTTGGGAGGATAGGGAGAAGGAATGTGAAAGGTTGGGAGGATAGGGAGAAGGAATGTGAAAGGTTGGGAGGATAGGGAGAAGGAATGTGAAAGGTTGGGAGGATAGGGAGAAGGAATGTGAAAGGTTGGGAGGATAGGGAGAAGGAATGTGAAAGGTTGGGAGGATAGGGAGAAGGAATGTGAAAGGTTGGGAGGATAGGGAGAAGGAATGTGAAAGGTTGGGAGGATAGGGAGAAGGAATGTGAAAGGTTGGGAGGATAGGGAGAAGGAATGTGAAAGGTTGGGAGGATAGGGAGAAGGAATGTGAAAGGTTGGGAGGATAGGGAGAAGGAATGTGAAAGGTTGGGAGGATAGGGAGAAGGAATGTGAAAGGTTGGGAGGATAGGGAGAAGGAATGTGAAAGGTTGGGAGGATAGGGAGAAGGAATGTGAAAGGTTGGGAGGATAGGGAGAAGGAATGTGAAAGGTTGGGAGGATAGGGAGAAGGAATGTGAAAGGTTGGGAGGATAGGGAGAAGGAATGTGAAAGGTTGGGAGGATAGGGAGAAGGAATGTGAAAGGTTGGGAGGATAGGGAGAAGGAATGTGAAAGGTTGGGAGGATAGGGAGAAGGAATGTGAAAGGTTGGGAGGATAGGGAGAAGGAATGTGAAAGGTTGGGAGGATAGGGAGAAGGAATGTGAAAGGTTGGGAGGATAGGGAGAAGGAATGTGAAAGGTTGGGAGGATAGGGAGAAGGAATGTGAAAGGTTGGGAGGATAGGGAGAAGGAATGTGAAAGGTTGGGAGGATAGGGAGAAGGAATGTGAAAGGTTGGGAGGATAGGGAGAAGGAATGTGAAAGGTTGGGAGGATAGGGAGAAGGAAGTGGGGGGTGGGGGAGGGAGGAGGATGCGGTGGTGCGTGAGGTGGGTGGGAGGGTGTGGATGCAGGGGGGTATGAGGGGAGGTGTCATGTGGGAGCATCTGAATGGTGCAATGCGCACGTGGCATAGAGAACATGGTAGAGCATGGCGGACATGGCAGCAGCAGCAGCATGCGCACCTCGGCCCTCTTCTCCCAGCACGTTGTCCCGTGGCACGAAGCAGTCCTCAAACACCAGCTCGCACCTGATGCCCGTGCCATGTACGCGCATGGCAGGGGGGGAGGCAGGGGGTATGGGAGGGCATACAAAGGAGAAGCGTATTGGAGACGGAGGTGGTTTGCAGTGGAAGGGAGTGAGGCAGCAGGTAGGGTAAGGTGCGGCGATGAAGGAAGTGGGACCAGGTAGTGTGTGGTATGCAACGAACATGTGATAAGATGATATGAGAAAGTGGAGGATGAAGAGGAGGGGCGAGAGTAAGGGTGAGAACGACAGGTAGAAGGGAAGGGAAGAGCGACTCACGTGTCACTGCCTCGCATGCCCAGCTTATCCAGCTTCTGAGCCGTTCGGAACCTGCCATGACGGGCACAGGAGTTGTAAAGCATGAGCCCACTCGATCCGTGTGCGCTCTTCCTACCCTCTCCTTCTCACTCCTAGCATCCCTTGCAACCCTTACACGCCTCACCCCTGCACGCCTCACCACTGCACGCCTCACCCGTCCATGCCCTTTTCGATGATGAAGGCTGTGATGCCCTTGGGGCCCGCCTTGATGTCCGTCTTGGCGTACACTACCTGCACCCCATGGCGCATGACGGCATGCCATGCATGGGATTCAAATCAGGGGGCATGAGAAACAGAGACAGTGAGATCGAGCTGCCATGAGAGGGGAACGGGCTAAAGCCGCATCACACAGCATGACATAGCAGTGCATGGGTCGGGCAGGGGGAGGGCAGCTCACAAGGGTGTTAGCGGTGGGCCCGTTAGTGCACCACATCTTGGTGCCGTTCAACACGTAGCCGCCCTGCGCCCTGTCCGCGCGACACCGCATGCTCACCACGTCCGACCCCGCTGGAGGGGAGGGGGGAGAGTACGCGGGGACACACAGGCCGCAGGAGAACGGGCGCGAGGGAGGGAATGGGCAATGCGGCAATGGGAAGGGGTGCTATGAGTTCGGAAAGACATGGGAGGAGCGGACGAGCAGCGGATGTGGTAGCAAGCTGGTGCATGAAAGCAGCACATTAGAAGTACAGTGCCCACGATCTCCCTCTCAATGAACCATCCCCCTCCCCTTCACCACACAACCCCTCCTCCCACTCGCACTATTCCTAACCGCCTTCCCCATCTTTCCCATCTGTCCCCTCCCCCCTCACAGTTGGGTTCGCTCATAGCGAGTGCGCCCACATGCTCGCCCGCCACCAGCTGCACGCATGGCGTGGGGGAGGGGGAAGGGGGACGGGAGAATATGTGGAAGAGGGGGGATGCGGTAGGAAGAGTGCGAGCGGGAGTGGGGGTTGTGTGGCGAAGAGAAGGACAGAGAGGTGGACGGGTTGGATTTCCTCATGGGGAGGGGCGAGGGGGAAGGAAGAAGAGCGGTGCACGTGGGGTTGAAGGACGGGAGGGAAAGGGACGGGAGGGGGAAGGGAAGGACAGAGAGGTGGACGGTGGGGAAAAAGCAGTGAGCCTGCAACATGGCCGTGTGTGTGGTCACATGTGTGTGCGTGGTTGCATGAGTGTGTGCGTGCGCGTGCGTGTATGTATCCATGTGTTCAATGTGTGCATGTGTGTGCCATGCGAGCATCCCACCTTGGCCAGGTACTTGGCCTTCTGCTCCTCATTGCCATGCCGCACCTGTGCCCCACCCCACAGACGCAACAGTAAGCCAAGGAGCAGTTGAGACAAGCTGCAACGAAGCGGTGCGGGCAAAATTCAGCTGGAGAAGTGAAGGGAATGAGAAAGAGGCAGCAGGAAAGGGCGTTGAGGAGGGGACGATGCTGCGAGAGGCAACGAGGGGCAGCAAGGACGGCAGCACGGCAGCATGGTGGCACCGGCACTACAGGATGGCGGCACAGCAGGACAGCATGGCGGCATGGCAGCATGGCGGCATGGCAGGGCGCGCACGAGTTGGTTGATGCAGAGGTTGGAGTGCGCGCCATAGGAGAGCCCCACGGCGCCTGATGCGCGTGAGATCTCCTCCATGGCCACGCAGTGGTACAGGTACCCCAACCCCATGCCGCCCTCCTGCTCTGCCAGCCCGCACACGGGTGGGTGGGGTGGGGGGGATGCGGGAAACGAGCAGATGTGTGGATGTTGAGTTTTGAGGCGTCTCAAAAGACGAGATCTCCTCCATGGCCACGCAGTGGTACAGGTACCCCAACCCCATGCCGCCTTCCTGCTCTGCGTGCACACGCGCGTGCATAAGTACGAAGGATGTGGGGGGGAGGGGAGGGATGGCACATGTGTGGATTGTGAGAGGGAGAAAGGGCATGGAAATGGGGGGGCGGGGAGTCTCCTCCATGACCACGCAGTGGTACAGGTACCCCAGCCCCATGCCGCCCTCCTGCTCTGCGCACGCACACGCGTGGTTGGAGTGGAGGGCGGGCAGATGTGTTGATGTTGAGAGGTATGGAGAGGAGGGCTGGGGGGGATGGTATGGCAGAGAACGGCACGATGTGGTGTGGCCTGGAATGGCATGGTGCGGCAAGAGATGGCGCGGCATGCACAGCAGGGAATGGCATGGCACAGCAGGGGACGGCATGCAAGGAAGGGGATGGCACGCGGGCGAGCAGCACTGACCGGGCACAGTGATGCCGTGCAGATGAAAGTCGCCCATTCGCCTCCACAGATTCACATGCTGCAGAGGGGGAGGAGGGGGGATGGGAGACGGGAGGAGGGGAGAAGTGGAGAAGGAAGGCGGAGGAGAAACGTGGGTGTTGAAAGGAACACAGAGGGAGGCCTCGTACGGCACATGGATTATGGTGCACGAGAGAGGAGGGGAGGGAACCGGGGAAAGGTAGCGAGAGAAAGAGAGAAGGGAGGAGGGAGAAGGGGAGCGAGATAAAGAGTGTCGATGTGGGTAACGTACTGCAAGCATAGACTGCACATTGGGTAGCACGTGTGGTGGCGCAGAGAGCAAGTGTGAGTACAGGTACTTGGGGGAAGGTACCTTGGGGAAGGAGTTGTTTCGGTCGATGTCAGCAGCGTGTGGTGCGATGACCTCCTGTGCGAACTTGTGCACACTCTCCTTGAACTGCATGCACGCCACCCATGCACTCACACACACACCCACCCCGCCCCACCATGCCACCGCACCCCCGCTCCCACCGTGCCATCCCATGCCCATGACAGCCCACCCGACACACATGCAGCAACGCAGAGGGCGCAGAGAGCAGCAGGAGGCGGTGGTAAGTTGAAAGGTCGTGGAAAAGGAGAAGCGGCAGGGGAGCATGGGGAGGAGCAGCGAGGGCATATGGCCTGGTCAGCACCTATCAGCACCTATCAGCACCTAGCAGCACCTCATGGCGTGACTCAAGAGAACCCCACAGTACTGTCATCAACAGGCTACCAACGTTGTCAACAGCCGTCATCATGCTCTGCTCTCACCTGCACTGCCGTGTCATCCAGCAGCGCGGATCCTCCGCCCACCGCGGCGGACGAGAACCCCGCGCCGCTGCCTCCGCGCGCTGCCCCCGCGCTCGACGCCACTTCCGCCTGCCACCCGCCTGCTGCGGCCATAGCGGGAAACTGTGCGATTTGGAGGAAGAGCGGGAGGGTGGGGGTGGGGCGCAAGGGAAGAGAGTATTGCGGCGGACGGAGCGGTGAGAAGAGGCGGCTGGCGGAGCAGCCTGCGGAGAGAAGTTGCGCGGAGAGATCGCGGAGCCATGGGACGGCGGCGCTTGCGGAACAGGAGGTGCGGGAAAGTGCGGGGATAACGGGGCGCAGGGGATGCGGCGGCGAGGGCAAAGCAGCGGTAAGAAAAGCGACCGCACGGCCTATCTTCCGCTTCCCACCCAGGAGGGCGGAGCATTCTATCCGTGCGCCTTCTGGTTTCCGCCCTACCTCTGGTAACGAACGCCCGAACAGGTTCCCTCCAACGCGCGCCGCTCGCGCGTTCCGCCCAATCCGCGCAGCTGCTCTCGCTAGCATCTTGCGGCGCGCTGAGCGAGTCGAGGGGCGAGCGCAGCGCGACAAGGGGGAGTTTGCGACAAGGAGCGCGGAAGATACGCGACGCGCGGTGTTCGTGGAGCGCGCAGAGGGTGGGCGGCGAGAATCGGCGGATGGAATGGACGACGGAGAGGAAAGCAGGAGCGTAGTGCGAGGGCAGTTGGGTTGAGTGAATGTGAATGGCCTGGCGCTGGTCAGGTCCCTTTCATATCATACGAGTTTGGTTTCGACCTTCGATGTTTTCGAACGGACCAACTCGTTGGTGGCAGTGCCACCCACGCAGGAGCAGCAGCGGAGGCGCACAGGTACGGGCAGTCGGTCATCCGACTCGCGGAAGAGCGGAGTAGAAGTACCAACCAACCTGCAGGGCACCGAGTTGACGTGGCCCCAGGCGAAAATGACGGTTGCCACGCCACAACTGCCGAGCGGTAGCGTGGCAAAACTGAACTCGACTCGATATAGCAGAGCGCATTTGTGTGAGTGACCCATGTAACGAAAATATTACGTTTCCTGCATGCACAGACTGTTGATGTACAAAAGCTTTTACTGAAAAAAAATGCCAGTACATGTTAAAGCATCTCAAGGAGTCAATGGCAATTCCCAAAGAAAGGCTACCACATACGCTACTAGCCTAACCAGATATGGCGGATAAGAGCAACTGATCGACCTTTCATAAGTTAAACCACCTAACTCCCACCAAAGCAGCAAGAGAACAGACCACCCCCCTTCTTGGGAGGCGGGGCAGGCGCAGCAGCCGGACCAGCTTTTTCTGTAGCAGCTGGTGGTGCAGAGACTGGTGGGGCATCTGCAGATGCCACCACCGGCTGAGGTGGTGTCATGGCTCGAGGTGAAGGAGGCTTCTCCGCTGCGGCTGCAGGCGCCACAGCATCACCAGCTGGAACAGCAGATGGTTCAACGGACTCAGAAGCAACAGCTGAAGCAACCGCAACAGCAGCAGCAGTCTCAGCAACTGCAGGAGTAGCAACAGCAGGCTCCAAAGCAGCTGCAGTAGTAGCAACAGCCTCAGCAAGGGGGGCAGCATCAGCAGAATCAACAGCAGGCTCAGAAGCAGCAACAGCAGCAGGCTCAGAGGCAGCAACAGCAGCAGGCTCAGAAGCCGGCTCAGCAACGGCAGGAGTAGCAGCAACATCAGCAGCAGGCAGAGAAGCAGGAGTAGCAGACTCAGAAGCAGCAGCAGCAGGCTCAGAAGCAGCAGCAGCAGGCTCAGAAGCAGCAACAGCAGCAGGCTCAGAAGCCGGTTCAGCAACAGCAGAAGCAGCAGCAACATCAGTAGCAGCATCAGCAGCAGGCAGAGAAGCAGGAGTAGCAGGCTCAGAAGCAGCAACAGCAGCAGGCTCAGAAGCAGCAGTGGCAGGCTCAGAAGCAGGCTCAGCAGGCACATCAGTTACAGCGTTTGCACTTGTTGTAGCTGCTGATTCAGTAGAAGCGGCACCATCAACACCTGAAAGTTCCTGCTCTGGAAGCTTGATTGCTGGTTCCTCTTCAGCAGCCTTGACCTCCTCTCCTAAACCCTCAGGCGCCTTACTTGCAGCTTCCTCCTTTGTCGCCTCCTTGGAGTTATCCTCTGCTGTCTTGTCAGCTGTTTCCTCTGCAGACTTCTTAGCAGCTTCTTCTCCTAGATTTGTTGCTGCATCCTCCTCTGCAGCCTTCTGTGTAGCTTCCTCCTCTGCAGCTAGCCTGGCAGCCTCCTCCTCAGCAGCCTTCTTAGCAGCATCCTCGTCAGTGGCCTTCCCTGCAGCTTCATCCTCTGCAGCCTTCCTCGCAGCTTCCTCTGCAGCCAGTTGTGCAGCTTCCTCTTCTGCAGCCTTCCTTGCAGCTTCTTCCTCTGCAGCCTTCCTAGCAACTTCCTCCTCTGCAGCCTTCCTAGCAGCTTCTTCCTCTGCAGCCAGCCTTGCAGCTTCCTCCTCTGCAGCCTTCCTTGCAGCTTCCTCCTCTGCAGCCTTCCTTGCAGCTTCCTCCTCTGCAGCCTTCCTTGCAGCTTCCTCCTCTGCAGCCTTCCTTGCAGCTTCCTCCTCTGCAGCCTTCTTAGCAGCTTCCTCCTCTGCAGCCTTCTTTGCAGCTTCCTCCTCTGCAGCCTTCTTAGCAGCTTCCTCCTCTTCAGCCAATCGAGCAGCTTCCTCCTCTGCAGCCAATCGAGCAGCTTCCTCCTCTGCAGCCAATCGAGCAGCTTCCTCCTCTGCAGCCTTCTTTGCAGCTTCCTCCTCTGCAGCCTTCTTTGCAGCTTCCTCCTCGGCAGCCTTCTTTGCAGCTTCCTCCTCTGCAGCCTTCTTTGCAGCTTCCTCCTCTGCAGCCTTCTTTGCAGCTTCCTCCTCTTCAGCCTTCTTTGCAGCTTCCTCCTCTGCAGCCTTCTTTGCAGCTTCCTCCTCTGCAGCCAATCGAGCAGCTTCCTCCTCTGCAGCCTTCCTAGCAGCTTCCTGTTCTGCAGCCTTCCTTGCAGCTTCCTCCTCTGCAGCCTTTCTTGCAGCTTCCTCCTCAGCAACCTTCCTTGCAGCTTCCTCCTCAGCAGCCAGCCTTGCAGCTTCCTCCTCTGCAGCCTTCCTTGCAGCTTCCTCCTCTGCAGCCTTTCTTGCAGCTTCCTCTTCGGCAACCTTCCTTGCAGCTTCCTCCTCGGCAACCTTCCTTGCAGCTTCCTCCTCGGCAGCCTTTCTTGCAGCTTCCTCCTCTGCAGCCTTTCTTGCAGCTTCCTCCTCTGCAGCCTTTCTTGCAGCTTCCTCCTCTGCAGCCTTTCTTGCAGCTTCCTCCTCTGCAGCCTTTCTTGCAGCTTCCTCCTCTGCAGCCTTTCTTGCAGCTTCCTCCTCTGCAGCCTTTCTTGCAGCTTCCTCCTCTGCAGCCTTTCTTGCAGCTTCCTCCTCAGCAGCCTTTCTTGCAGCTTCCTCCTCAGCAGCCTTTCTTGCAGCTTCCTCCTCAGCAGCCTTCCTTGCAGCTTCCTCCTCAGCAGCCTTCCTTGCAGCTTCCTCCTCAGCAGCCTTCCTTGCAGCTTCCTCCTCTGCAGCCTTCCTTGCAGCTTCCTCCTCTGCAGCCTTCCTTGCAGCTTCCTCCTCAGCTGCCTTCCTTGCAGCTTCCTCCTCAGCAGCCTTCCTTGCAGCTTCCTCCTCAGCAGCCTTCCTTGCAGCTTCCTCCTCAGCGGCCTTGCGTGCAGCTTCCTCCTCAGCGGCCTTCCTTGCAGCCTCCTCTTCAGCGGCTTTCCTTGCAGCTTCCTCCTCTGCAGCATTCCTAGCAGCTTCCTCCTCTGCAGCCTTCCTAGCAGCTTCTTCCTCTGCAGCCAGCCTTGCAGCTTCCTCCTCAGCTGCCTTCCTCGCAGCCTCCTCCTCTGCAGCCTTCCTTGCAGCCTCCTCCTCTGCAGCCTTCCTCGCAGCCTCCTCTGCAGCCTTTCTCGCAGCCTCCTCTGCAGCCTTCCTCGCAGCCTCCTCCTCTGCAGCCTTCCTAGCAGCTTCTTCCTCTGCAGCCAGCCTTGCAGCTTCCTCCTCAGCTGCCTTCCTCGCAGCCTCCTCCTCTGCAGCCTTCCTCGCAGCCTCCTCCTCTGCAGCCTTCCTCGCAGCCTCCTCCTCTGCAGCCTTCCTCGCAGCCTCCTCCTCTGCAGCCTTCCTCGCAGCCTCCTCCTCTGCAGCCTTCCTCGCAGCCTCCTCCTCTGCAGCCTTCCTCGCAGCTTCCTCCTCAGCTTTTTTCCTCGCAGCCTCCTCCTCTGCAGCCTTCCTCGCAGCCTCCTCCTCTGCAGCCTTCCTCGCAGCTTCCTCCTCCTCAGCCTTCCTTGCAGCTTCCTCCTCTGCAGCCTTCCTTGCAGCTTCCTCGTCAGCAGCCTTCATCGCATCGTCCTCCACTGCCGCCATAATCGAGGCTTCTTCCGCTGCCGCCTTCACCGCGTCGTCCTCCTGTGCAGCCATAATCGAAGCTTCTCCCGCTGCCGCCTTGCTTTCAGTCTGCCCCTCGGCATACGTCGCTTCGCCTTCCACAACACCAGACTTTCGCTCGTCGTCTTCGTCTGCAGCCCTTTCAACGGCATACTCCTCTACAACCGCGCTTGTATCTTCCTCGGTTTCATCCGCCGCTTCAGTGTAAGCGCCTGGAGTTTCATCATCGTGTTCGCCTTCCGCAGCTAGATCCTTTCCGCCCTCCTCGGCAGTGTGATCGACCTCGTGCGAGTCTTCCCCAGATGTTCCTCCAGAAGCCTCGTCGTGAGTAGCCACAGGAGATCTATCTCCTTGCTCCTCGTCCTTCGATTGGCTCTTGCTCTTGCTAAGCCCTTCCCCTCGTCCGCGGCCTCTACCCCTTCCCCGCGCGGCATCGCCTCTGCCTCGGACCCCCGTGGAACGGCCACCCACCCCTTCTGAGCCTCTGCCCCTCCCGTCGCCACCTCTCCCGCCGCGACCTCCGTCTCGGCCTGCTGTCGCGACCCCCCGCCCTCGTCCGCTTTCCGCGCCTCGTCCTCTGGCGCCCTCGCGACCTCCCGCAGCAGCTCCGCGGCCCCTCGTGGCTGCAGCCTCACCGCCTCTCCCACGACCAGCGACGGCGTCTCCCCTGCCCTTGCCGTCGGCACCGCGGCCCCTGCCACCATCAGTGGTGCTCGCTCGACCTCCGCTTGCCGTTCCTCCGCGTCCTCTTGCCGCGTCTCTGCCTCCTCCACGCCCGCGTCCGGCGCCGGACTTGCCTGCAATTGGTGAAGGGAGATCACCAGACATGTAGCGATTGACCTTCCGTAGATCGGCCTCTATTGACAGCCACAACACAAGGACATTACGATCTTCAATGACTTGGACGAGGAACATGTAAGTCCACGGATCGTGAGCCACGATCGGGAGTTTGAGATGACAAGTGTACGACGGTTACTTGCAATATACGGTTGGATAAGTGTTAGCGCTTGATTGTTTGGTGGCTGAGCGAGGCCAGATCGGCTGGGAAGAAGGGCGACCCAACCAGACGTATCATATACGAGACTACAACACGAAGAGAAAAATACAACTACTTTGTTCACTTATCGTACGCATTACACAACAGCGAGATCGCTCTTTTTACAAGAGCGAAAGTGCATATCAACGAGTGCTTATCTGACGTGACGCAAGTCATCCAACTCACTTTCTGAATGCTGGAGCTTCGGCTTCCTTGCCGAGTCGTCAGCTGACATTGAGCTCATACTTACGGAGTCGCCTCCGCCTCCCTCCATCTCCACCTACAGGAGCTACAACTACAAGATAACTACGTAATAACTACGTAACAATCAAGAAGTAGAATCAAGTACGGGACACAGTCGTAGCACCGTGTCACGTTTCGGACTCCTTCCTAGGACGCAGTTAGGTTGAGCCTGACTAAGCACATCAGTAGCTAAGGAGAGCTGTGTCCTTGTGTGTGCATGATTGGGTTGGGGGTGGAGGAGTCTTCTTGGATCGCATCGCTGCGGCAACTTCGAGGTTTGCCCTCAAAATCTGCGAGAGCGACGGTTTCGCTTGAGGAGAGGTTGGGCGGAGGTTGGTTGGGGAGCGAAACCTGTGGAGGGTAGAGGCTCGGGGCAAGCCCCTCTGCGGCACGGTAATCGCGGACGAGTGCCGCACCAACCAGGGCAGCAACCCCAAACCTAACCAGGCGGCGCTGTGAGCCGCTTCCAGCTGCCACGGCCAATGACGTAACTTGGTTTACCAAGGCGGAAGTGCGGCTGGTGTGCTTTCGTGCCACGTAAATTTCGGAGGCAAAGATGGGAGGGTGGTGGTGAGCTACAAACGAAACCTTCATATCTTTGATGCCTTGGCGCGCTGTTTCTGCACGTCATCGAGTGCGGAGGCGCTGATTCCTTTGGGATCTCCAGATGCGTTGTAGGGAAAAAAGAACACTAATTGAACGTCGGGCTTATAAAGCTCATTCACATGTTAGGCAGTTAGGACAATCCTAGCAATGGATGGTATCATGCAATTTAATGTGTTGTACTCTTAATTCAGAGTATGTTGTTTCAAACATCATGTTTGTAGCCACATTACCCTACTATGCAGGAGGTACCGTACTGTTACCGTACCTTGTTTTGGGCGAGTACAATTTTCATTTTAACATGCGGTTTATAATGTGCATCTGCGTGTTCGCGCTGTCAGCAATTGGGGGCATGATAGGTAGTGCCATGCCACAAGATTATCATTGATGCTCGATATGCATCAAGCGTAAACCCCACCCCCTTCCCTTTCCCCCGCAAAAACATTCAATTAGTACGGTGTCTGATCTGACATTACACATGGATAACGACAACTCAAATCAACACGTTCTACCACAGGTCATACGGTACATGCGGTAGCTGTAGGTTTCCATACCAGCACATCGGAGTGGCATGGCAACTGCTGGACAACACTGTTTGCTGCAGGTTGCCTACCTACCAGTACAACAATGGTAGCTTGATGTCAAATGTTCTAGCCTATAATGAGGTTTGTCTTAGGGGGTACAAAACTTAGGGTTAGCTATATGTACCCCAACCAACATCAATGCATCATCCATTCTTCATTCTGACATGGTATCAGTTAGGTTAGGATCCTGTGGGATCCCGTTCCGCCGTTCTCCGTTCGTACCACCCGAGCCTGATCCTAGCTCTCGTTCGTCTCCTTCTCGTTGTTACCGAGCCTAGCGCCGAGCCACGCTCTCGTTCGTATCGTTCCAGCTGTTACCGCCCCCCCGTCGCGTCGCCTTTCCCCCCCTCGAGACGCGCCCGTCCCTTTCCCCCTGTCGCGTCGCGCTCCCCCCGTCGCGTCGCGTCCGCTCCTTCCCCCCGTCGCGTCGCCTTCCCCCTGTCCCGTCGCGCCCCCCCTTTCCCCCCGTCGCGTCGCCCTCCCCCTGTCCCGTCGCGCCCGCCCCTTCCCCCCGTCGCGTCGCCCTCCCCCTGTCCCGTCGCACCCGCCCCTTTCCCCCCGTCGCGTCGCCCTCCCCCTGTCCCGTCGCTCCCGCCCTCTCCCCCCGTCGCGTCGCCCGTCCCGCAGCGCCCGCCACTGTCGCTCGCGACCGCGCTCGTCGCCGCCGCGCCTGCCGCCGTCGCCCGCCCCCTGCGCGCCTCGCCGCGGCCCCGCCGTCGTCGCCCGCCGCTGCGCGCGTCGCCGCTGCGCCCCCTGCCGTCGCCCGCTGCGCGCGCTGCTGGCCCCTGCTGCCGAGCGCGCTGCCATCGCCCGCCGCTGCGCCCGTTCCCGTTCCCCGCTGCTTAGTCCCCTGTTACCTCCCGCTGTCACGCCCGCTGTGGCGTCCGCTCCTCCCCTGTCCCAGAGTACCGCCGAACCCTAATTTGCCTCTCACCTACTGCTGTCCCCTCCCTCTCCGTTCGCGTTCGTTTTCACTATGGCGACTCAGCGTGTCCTTCGTTTCGACGCTGACGGTAGACCTCTTGATTTTTCCGTCTGGCTTCTTCGTGCTCGCCGTCTGTTAGAGAGTCAGGTCCAGGCAGGCGAGACCCTCTGGGCGCACGCTACTGGTGCCCTACCTGCGCCCCCCGACCCTACGCCTTTAGGACCTGCCCCTGACGACGCCGCTAGAGCCCGCTTTGCCACTCAGCGAGCTGACCAGACGGCTTGGACGTCACGTGACGCTGCGGCCTGCATCGCGCTCAGCAGCCTCCTCCCTGAGTCTGAGGAGGTTCACTTCACTCAGGTTCGCACCGCTGCTGAGTACCTCACTGCGATTAAGGCCCGCTACTCTACTCCCGCTGCTGTCTCTCTTGGCCGCCTGTTCCTCCCGTTCCTGTTTCCTGACCTAGCGTCTTTTGAGCGCTCTGCTGACTTGATCGCTCACCTCCGCTCGCTCGACGCTAGTTACCGCGCTGCTTGCACTGAGGCACAGCTTGCACTGCTTCCTCCCCCTATGGCGATTACTATCTATTTCATCGCCACTAGCCTCCCTGACCGCCTTGCCTCCGTTCGCGACGCGCTTCTGCTGAAGCACCCTAGTGAGCTCACCGTCGAGGTCCTTGAGTCTGCACTCAAGGACGTCGAGAGCAACCTTCGCTCGGTAGCCGCTGCCTCTGGTGCTGTGCCCCCCCCACTCTTCCACGGGTGCACAGTCCCGCAGTTACCCACCTTTACTGCCTCACTTGCCACTGCCGCTACTGACGCGACTGCAGCTGCTGTTACGACTGCGTCGCGGTCCCGCGGTAGGAGTGGCAAGAAAGGCGGTTCTGGTGGTGGTAGTGGAGGTGGAGGCGGAGGTAGTGGAGGTGGCGTTGCGCCTGGCGGCGGTGGAGGTTCAGGGCCTGGAGAGGCGCCTCGTGCAGTGACTGGTGACTCCACTGCGCCTGCTGGTGGTGGCGACGCCCGAGTTCGTCAGTCGCCTCCTGTACTTCCTGCCCCGGTTGGTGGAGCAGCGGCGTGGTACCAGGCTCAGCGTCAGCAGCAGCTTCTGCAGCACCAGCAGCCCCTCTCCTCCCAGCAGCCTCAGCAGCAGCAGCGGCAGCAGCTGGCTCCAGGGTCGGGGCTGCGTCAGACCCAGCGCGGTGCTGCTTACACTCCCTGCACCTACCAGGTTCTGACAGGCACTCGTCGTGGCCACCCTTGTGGCCGGTTTCACCCCCCTGGTCAGTGCTTTGCTCAGCTCACTGACACGGTTCGTTTGGTCTACGGGGTTGGTGCTCCTGCCCCTGACTGGCTGCCTCTTGTTCAGCGTTACGGCTCCGCTCTGTGGGGCATGTCTGCTGAGCAGTTAGTTGATCTGATTGGTAATCCCCATGCTATGTATGCTGTTGTTGACTCTAGTGTTTCTGACTCTGTTTACTCTGGTGTTGTTAGCTTAGGTGCTAGCCTTGCTCAGTTGCCTGTTGCTAGTGTAGGTTCTTGTGTAGACTCTAGTCCAGCGGCTACCTCAGAGGACGGTTCGCTGTCGTTCACGCTGGACTCTGGAGCCTCTCACTGCTTCTTTCGTGACAGCACGACACTTACGCCTCTTCCTGCGCCTGTTTCTGTGGCGCTGGCTGATCCCACTTCGGGACCAGTCACCGCGCGTCACACTACCACCTTGCCGTGTCCGGCTGCTCCTTCTGGGTCTCTCACTGGGTTTCACGTCCCCTCGTTCTCCCGGAACTTGGTGGGCGTGCGACCCCTCGTGAGTCAGCACGTGGGTGTGTGGTTTGAGCCTTCTGGAGAGACTGCGGTGTGTGTTGACGGGGACTCTTACCAGCCCCTCGCCACTTTTGCTGCTGAGCCGGGCTCCGGTCTCTACACTCTTCACACTGGCCCGCGCGCTCAGCAGCGACTGCAGCAGCAGCAGCAGCCGCAGCAGCAGCAGCAGCAGCAGCAGCCGCAGCCGCAGCCACAGCCGCCCCTCCTGCCCCCGGCCCCTGTTTTGCCCCCCGTTCGAGTCCTCGCGTCTCACCAGGTTGCTCCGTCCCCCCAGGTAGCTGTGTCTTGTCAGGTTCCTCCGTCTAGTCCGGTCGCTGCGTCGTGCTCCTGTCGGTCGCTTGCCCACCCCACCGTTTTGTGGCACCACCGGCTGGGGCACCCTTCTCCTCCTCGTCTTCGCGCTATGTCTCGTCAGCGTCTTGTCTTAGGCCTCCCGCGTGTCTTGCCGTCGCTGCCGCCGTCCCTTGCACCACCGTGCGGTCCTTGCGTCGAGGGTAGGCTGCGCGCCACCCCTCACTCCTCCTCCCTTCGTCCGGCCACCGAGCCTTTTGAGACGCTGCACTTGGACGTCTGGGGCCCCTCTCCTCGCCCTGGCCCTGAGCGTGAGCGTTTCTTTTTTGTGGTCGTTGACGACTACTCCCGCTACACCACAGTGTTCCCCCTGGCGAGGAAGTCTGAGGTGACTTCTACGCTGATCAGGTGGTTGCTTACCACCCAGGACACTCGTGGTCGTCGTGTCAGCTGTCTCCACTCCGACCGCGGGGGCGAGTTTCGCTCCGGCATTCTCGCTGGATTCTGTCGCGAGCAGGGCATTCGTCAGTCCTGGACGCTTCCGGAGTCCCCACAGCAGAATGGGGTTGCTGAGCGTCGCATAGGCCTGGTCATGGAGATTGCCCGCACCTCCTTGACTCACGCCCGTGCCCCCCATTTCCTGTGGCCATACGCGGTCAGGTACGCCGCGCACCAGCTGAACCTCTGGCCACGCGTCTCTCGGCCGGAGGCTTCACCGACCAGTCTTTGGACAGGGTCCCCTGGTGTCGCGTCGAGGTTTCGTGTCTGGGGGTGCTTGGCTCTTGTCCGCGACACCTCCGCGGACAAGCTCTCGCCTCGCGCCGTTCCTTGTGTCTTCCTTGGTTTCCCTGAGGACTCCTCTGACTTCACCTTTTACCACCCTCCCTCTCACCGGTTCTTTGACTCCCGTGACGTCCGTTTCGAGGAGTCCACCCCCTACTACGTCAGGTACCCCAGTCGAGGTCTCCCGGTCCCTCCCCCCCCTCTCTTCCTGACCGCCGCTCCCCCGCCTGCTCCCCCGGTACAGCCTCCCCCCCCTGGTCCAGCCCCGTCTGGTGTGTCTCAGGCTAGCCCTCCCTGTACAGCCTCCCTCCCCACAGTCTTCCTCGCCGCCTCCTGCAGGTGCTCCCTCTCGGGAGGTTGGTCCTGCGACTGTCCCTGTACAGGTCTCTGGTTCTGGGGGTGCTGGAGTTGGAGCTGAGCCGCGGGTTGCAGAGGACTCTTGTCTTCCGGGGGCTGGTACTGGTCGTGCGGAGTCTGGGGGTGCTGGTGCGGAGTCTGGGGGTGCTGCGTCTGGGGGTGAGGGTGTCCCTTCGGTTTCTGGAGAGCCTGGGTCTGGAGCTGGTGTTGGTGCTGCCTCTGGGGGTGGTG